GAGCACGTACAGATCGCCACACGCTGCCCTCCAGGAGTCCAGGTGTCAACCCAGTGATCCTGGAGGACAGCGTTGCTCACCAGGTTCGTAGAGAACGAGGGAACGAGGAGACCTGACAGCTCACCAGACGGGACCGCCGGGCACGGGAGCACAGTCGTGCCGCGTGCAAGCACTGGGCCCCCAGAGGGGTCAGCCAGGGAGACAGGGACAGGTGCAGGGAGCGGAGTGACGGTGGTGCTATCACGAAAGAAACAGCGGGAAGCACCAGAGTCAAGTGTAAACGTGTGCAAGGCCTGAGCCGACTCAGTACCAAGGGGAGCAGACTCACTAGCACCTAGGGCTGCAGTCCTTATACCGGGGTCAGGCGGCACACACAAGTAGCAGTCACCCTCAGCACTAACAGTCAATGCATACATGGCAGCAAGAATAACATCATAGTCCAGATCAAAGATAGGCACATCACGCCTAAGCAGCTCTGGGGAACTCAGTAGCATCAGGATACTTAGTACGCCAGGCGTCACTAAGCCTAGCAAAACAACGATACTCAGTGTGAAAACCGTTGCAGGGGCGACCCTTGCGGGGGCCAGTACGAATGACATAGGGGCAGCGGTCAGAACCCCGAGACGCCCCACGCCCAGCATACCAGTCATTGAGCTGCTGGGAGGTGAGGGGAGGAAGCTGCTGCTGCTGCTGTGGCTGTTGCTGCTGCTGCTGCTGCTGGCCACCCTTCTGGCCAGATCCACCCCCACTCCCACCTCCACCGCCACTGCCGCTGCCTCCTCCCCCACCACCGCCGCCGCCGCCTCCACCGCTCCCGGTCCTGCCGCCACCCCACCCACCGCCTCCACCCCCACGGCCACCCCCACCACCTCCACCACCCCCGCCGCCTCCACCACCGCTCCCTCCACCGCCACCTCCGCCACCCCTGCCACCCTTGCCGCCCCTGCCACCACCACGCTTCCCACCAGGAGCGGAAGCCGCTGCGACCTTCTCCGCACCGAGGAAGTCGACAGCAGTAGCAGCAGAGGCGTAGGAGGGGTCAAGAGGGGAGGGGGAGCACCCCTCAAAGAGGGGAGTGCGGGGAGTGCCACGAGCAGCACCGACAGCGAGGATGTTCTTCTCTGCTGCGACCAGCTGCTGCTCGAAGTCGTCCAGAGTGATAGTTGGAGGATCCTTGGCAAGGAAGTAATCCCTGACAGAGCGAAGAGTGTCAGGGAGGCGGGTGACGAGGATGTAGAGGGTGAAGTACAGCGGGGGGGTGTTCGTGGCGAGGAACTCTTTGGTAAGAGCGGCTCGAAAGCGGGCGTCACTAGCGCGGAGGTGAGTGATAAGGTCGGCAGCAGTGTGAAACGAGGCTAAGTCTGGGAACAGGTAAGGCAGGATGAGACTACCAACGGTGGCTGTGGTCGGGGCGGAATAGCGGGCAACGACAGCATCATACAGCGTCTTAGCAGTCTTAAGCTGGTTGAAATGCGCGCGCTCAGAGATCGGTAGGTGATTGCGAATAACAAGGCGCGCGACAGCATCGCGGAGCTCCCACTGTGCTCGTTCAGGGGCAGGAGCAGTCTCAGCAGGAGTAGGGACAGTGCCGGTCACATAGGCTAGCAGGGACACTCCGTCTGCGACGTCAGTCATAAGGTAAAGGCGCAGGTCACTAAGCCAGGTGTCAAACTCGATGGGGCGGCCGTCAGGCTCAAAGGCGAGAACAGTAAGGGTCGCCATGGTTGTAGCGCAGGCAAAAGTAGCAGGCTCAGGCAGCAGGCTCAGGCAGCAGGCTCAGGTAGCAGGCTCAGGCAGCAGGCTCAGGCAGCAGGCTCAGGCAGCAGGCTCAGGCAGCAGGCTCAGGCAGCAGGCAAAGACTGCAGGTTCAGGCAGCAGGCTCAGGCAGCAGGCAACTGTAGCAGGTAAGGAAGCACGCAGTTCTGTGACAGGCCGCGCGTAAGGCAGGTAAGCGCACGACTCACGGGCGGCTAAGCGCTCAGGTCGAGGCAGTGGCGCACAGGCAGGGCAGGGCACGCGCTGCTGCGGGCTGCGCGCGGCTGCGGGCTGTGCGTGGCAGCTGGCTGTGCGCGGCGACGGGCTGCGTGCGGCTGCGGGCTGCGCGCGGCGACGGGCTGCGCGTGGCTGCGGGCTGCGCGTGGCTACTGGCTGCACGCGGCGGCGGGTCGCGCGTGGCGGCGGGCTGCGCGCGGTGACGAGCTGCGCGGTGACAGCCATTGCTGCATTACAAGCAGCTTCGCTTTCAAAATACACATTTTTAGAAAGTGTTACACACTTTCAAAAAACTTCATATTTAGAAAGCTTGCTTTCTTGTGTTTGCAATGGCAACGTGCTTCGTTTCAAATGGGTCTTCTGAGACATGTGTCGACGGGAGTTGTTGATCGTTTGCGAGATGACATGTGGGTGGTGGTCCGCTCGCACACGGAGCGGATGCTTGTACCGATGTTGCTGGTGATGATGTTAATCTCTGTCGTTGCATTGGATGGGGTGTCGCGCCAAGTGTAGCACAGGCGTGTTGATCAATGGGAGATGGCTGATACGTAGGCTTCTTACACGAACCCGCAACAATATGGAAGGACTCGGGCAGCGGACGTTGGTACGGTATGTTGTGTTGATGATGGGTGTGAGCTTGTACCGTACAAGTTGTACGGAATGAGCCCGACCCTTGTGGTCACAATCGTGCTCGTATCACAAAGAGTACATGAAACTTTATTGTATCCAGATGAATCTGCCGGCGTTTAAGCCCTGCGTGGTTATTTATTTATTATTATTCTTCTTTTATTTTTCCCAATGAGTATAGGTATGATCTGCTAGAGTTGTGCACCATTTCAGACTCACCACGTTTGTTCAATCAACCAACTCAAGTGTGACCGCATCCCAACCTTGCACTGTAAAGGCTCATCATAAGGTAATTGCAAAGTATTACAAAGACTGCACAACCATTAATCTACCTTACAAATGACCCACAGACCAAAAAGGACCCACCAGCCCTCTTCCCCCTTGGGGAGCTCGCTGGCCAGCACCGCACATGACCCCACCGGTCCTCCTCCCCCCTGGGGAGCTCGCTGGCCAGCACCGCACAGGACCCACCGGTCCTCCTCCCCCCTGGGGAGCTCGCTGGCCAGCACCGCACAGGACCCACCGGTCCTCCTCCCCCCTGGGGAGCTCGCTGGCCAGCACCGCACAGGACCCACCGGTCCTCCTCCCCCCTGGGGAGCTCGCTGGCCAGCACCGCACAGGACCCACCGGTCCTCCTCCCCCCTGGGGAGCTCGCTGGCCAGCACCGCACAGGACCCACCGGTCCTCCTCCCCCCTGGGGAGCTCGCTGGCCAGCACCGCACAGGACCCACCGGTCCTCCTCCCCCCTGGGGAGCTCGCTGGCCAGCACCGCACAGGACCCACCGGTCCTCCTCCCCCCTGGGGAGCTCGCTGGCCAGCACCGCACAGGACCCACCGGTCCTCCTCCCCCCTGGGGAGCTCGCTGGCCAGCACCGCACAGGACCCACGAGTCCTTTTCTGGCTCGCGCGGGACCCCCAGGGGGTGTCCCAATCTCCCACGGGAGCGCACAGAGTTGTACCAGATGTTTGCCGTAGTTTCTCTTGGCAGATGGTCTATGAAGGCGATGCAATGCTGTGGTAGTTGCCTCGCACCAATTTACTGCGACCAAAAATTAAGAAATAACACGACTGAAAACGAAGGGAACATTTGCGAAGTAACAGGCGTTCCATAGACGAATTTCAGCAACAAAAGCGCATCTGCCATGCCAGTTCGTTTCTGGCGCGCCACTGGCGATTTCGTAGCCACATGCGCCAGAGGCAATCTTGACCATTTCGGCGCCATGAGCGCCCCTGGCGCCAATTGCGCCGTTGGCGATTTCACCACGCGCGCCTGTGGCCATCTCGTCGCCACGCGCGCCTGTGGCGATCTCGTCGCCACGCGCGCCTGTGGCGATCTCGTCGCCACGCGCGCCTGTGGCGATCTCGTCGCCACGCGCGCCTGTGGCGATTTCGTCGCCACACGCGCCTGTGGCGATTTCGTCACCACGCGCGCCAGTGGCGCTGTCGCCCTATTAGCCCCAACATGCGCACCTATTGTAAGGACGGGTCATTTTTGAAACTCGTATTGCTAAGTCAACCGAGCTTGCCTACTATTTCTTGAGAAAAGTAAGGGACTGCGAGAAGCACCAGGTAGTCGGACGAGAATGAAATAATGCAGTTGAAATTTCAAATGAAGACGTGGGTGGAGGCCAAATGGCCTCCACCCCCTGCTATATAGTTGGCGAAGAGCGTCTAGCACTTCGCGGTTGCCATTGCTGCATTACAAGCAGCTTCGCTTTCAAAATACACATTTTTAGAAAGTGTTACACACTTTCAAAAAACTTCATTTTATCAAAGCAATTCACCAGCTTTTCCATCCATTACAACGAGAAACCAGCATCTGAAAAAAGTAAGTTTTTGCAGCCAGTAAAGCGATTATACGACATACTCAGTTGCACAGTTACATAAGCCCTTCATCTTAAAAGGGTGTGGGGAAAAAGGGTGTAAGCATATCACAACTCTAATTTGGAACAAAGGGAATACCGTAGAGTTTTAGCAAACCCAGCAAATACAGGAGGGAAAAAATGATTACGGTAGGTCAAAGATTCTTAGCGCAGATAACAAGTAGACACAGGCTATCAAAGAGGAGGAAGAATAGACAAAAGGTCAGGTGCCTGCATCCCAGCCTTATGCCGCAGCGCACATGGATATGGATGATACATTTGCATGCCTGCAAGCACAGATGCATACATAGAAAGTTGTTTTGATGAATGTAGAGAAGCATGAATGAATGCGGCAGGGACAGGGACAACAAATTATGGTATGCAATAGTACAAGACTGGGTGAATGACATAAAATAGACAACTTGAGGTATTCCATCACAGCATCATAGCTTCCAAGAATGATGAACCACACGAACCTGTGATGGCACACGCAGCCATACGGCTGCGAGCCGAGTCACTTTACGAACAGTTGCGCAACGAAGACAGCATCGCCTGCACCTGAAACATTGGATTTGCAGCACGAGTCGTGTAGTGGGGATGCAATGAGGATGCAGTGAGGTGACTAGGCAATAAGATCTGCTATGGACTTTGTCGAAGCGCATGAGACAAAGGCAGGAGGGCGAACTGAACGCATGTCAACGGCAACGTTGGTTGTTGTTCTTTCTCCTTCAAAATTTACCTTAATTACGTCCTGTTCTGCTTGGCAATGGTCGCCAGTGGCGTCAACCCCCTTGTTCTTCCCATTCACATCACCCGCCATAGCCTTCAATAGCTGCTCCACTCCCTCGCGAACACCCGCCTGCACTAAGTGCTGCCCGAACATGCTTCCCCTTGCAAGCACGTTATTTAGAATCACCAAGCCAAACTGCTGCTGCAGAGTCAGCGCCTTCCCCTGCTCCTTCTCCGGCTGTAGCAGCTGTAGCAGCGCGCGCGCACCATTGGCATCGTCTACAGTGCAGAAAGCCATTACTCCCTCCTCTGTCCTGGTCAAACTTGCCAGCAGTGCAGAAAGCTCGACCTGCCCGTTAGCCTGCCCAGAAAGCAGCATGGAGGAGATTTGGGCAACGGCGTTTCGCTCTATTAGTTGCGCCGCCACTTCCGGCACCTGCGACAGGCGCAGCAGTGGAAGCGCCGCCGCCGCACGCGCACTGGCACGCGGCGGTTCGTCCTCATTCGACGGTGGTGCTGACGAGGACGAAGCAACCAGCAGCTGCCACAGCAGCACATCCGTGCCCGCGGTTGCTGCCACGTGTACCCTCGCCTCGCTGTGCAACAAGCAGTAGAGGAGCGCTGCCACGTCAGCAAGCAGCGGGAATGACGTGGATGCGGAGGGCTCCACTTGTCGAAGAATATTAACTAGCAGCATCACCAGACCCTCCTCGCTGAAGCGCGGCGCCGCGCGCTCGCTTAGGAGGCAGAGATTAAGAGCCGTTGCCACCACCAGAGCTGTTAACCTACACTTCTCAACAGCGGCGCTGCGGCCCTCCAATGCACGCGTGAGAGACGCCGTGGCGCCGTTCGATATAAGCAGCTCCGCTTCCGCCGTTCCTTGCGCGCTCAACTGCATCACCACCGCCGCTGAGTCCGCGTTTCCCGCCGCCACTTGCGCTAGGAGCCGCGCAACCTCGTCTTGGCTTGGCGGAGCAGCGGTTGCGGCGCCAGCCGCGGTGGAGCAGGCTTGGCGAGCGGAGCCCGCGGAAGCGGGGAGGTCGGCGGGGCGAGGGGGGAACTTCTTGAGCGCGGAGGGGAAGTCAGAGGCGGAAGCGAGCGCGGAGAGGTAGTTGCGGCCGAAGAGACTGACGAGCGCGGGGAGAAGCGCGGGGCCGGACACGCTGCGCGGGAGACGAAGATGCGTTGGGGGAAAAGGGTTTGAGGGCGGGAATGGGGAGAAGTGGGAAAAGGAATGGTTGGTTTTTGGGGCAACGCAGGCACGAGCAAGAGAAGCAGGCACGAGAGAAGCAGGGATGATTGCGGCTCGCTTACTAAGGTCCGCTTGATGACGCAACAGCTTACGGTCACTTACACGATTTGCGATTACAGTCACAACAGTTCACGGGTCTAGGTTACGAAAATCATTGACGAACGAAAGTTACGAAAGCGGGTTACGGAAGTTGGTTGTAGAAGCAAGCTACGGCAACAGTTTACCTGCAAGAGGAGCTGCCGCAGTTGGAACACGATGCACCCGCCTGCCACGTTCCATGAGAAAGGCAAACAGGAAAGAGGGACGGGAGGGAGCAAGGGCAGCGGAGGCGGGAGCACGAGCAGGGGGTGTGGGGGGGGTCGAGCGCGGCAGGGAGGCGGAAGAGGGCGCGAGGGAATCCAGGCTCGGTTTCTATAACTCGCAGAACCAGATACGTCTTGAGAGGGAGAGAGAACAAAACGAAGTAGATGCGAGTTGATTCAGGGAGAGCGGAAAGTGCTCTGTAAAGGAGTCGTGTACAGGCTGTACACTACTATAACAAGCTGGTGCACAGTATTTCAGTAACTCACAGCCCCTCCGTCACTGAAACCCCGACTATCGCTCGGCAATGCATCCCCCTTGCTGCGCGAAACACACCCCGTTGGCACCACTACCCGTACCGAATCCCTCGACATGCAAGGCAAGGATATGAGGAGTCTACGAGGATTGGCCCGACGCCTCTCGGCAATCCCGACGCCTCTCGGCAATCCCGACGCCTCTCGGCAATCCCGACGCCTCTCGGCAATCCCCATGGACCTTAGTTCACTAGCAGACGGACCTTGGATCGCATCTTGCTCCAGATGCCTTGCATGGGATTCGCTTCCACCCGCCATGGCGCGGACCGCCGCGGTCGACTCTCCTGCAGAACGGCTACTAGAGACGCCATGAAGCGATTAACTACAGCGTCGCAGGGGCAGATGAGAGACTGAGAAACTAGTGCAGAAACGCGGTGCTTGAAAGTGCTCTGATTTTTGGCTAATGAAATCGAGCAGAACTTGAAGGTGTGTACTGAAGAAGAGGTGTTGTTGAAACTGGGTGGATTGCGCGGGGAGGAGGTAACTAGGTATAATTAGGTTGGATTATACACGTATGGTGCAACAAGAACAGACACTTCAACTTCCAAACTCCGAGGTCTGTACGGGAGAGGTTGTTTTCAGGCAAAAATCAGAACTAGTAGGTAGGGAGCAAAGAAAGCCTTGCAGAAGACGGGGAACACAGGATGGTGCCGTATGGCAGCGAAGATGAGGGGAGGGAGACGAAGGGGAAGGGGAGGAAGGTACAGTAAGGGAAGGGAGACGAGAAGGAAAGGGGAAAGGGGGAGAGGAAGGGGGGTTGCCTCGCTATGCGGATGGATGGACTGATGAGTGAGAAAGTGGAGGGAGAGTGGTGTGTGCGGTGCGATGGGGGAATGGGGAAGGGAAAAGAAATGGGGGATGGAGGTTTGTCCGACGCAGATTACTGCGTGCTACAGTAGAATGTTGTTTCGAAGTGGGATGAGCTACACGACAGTTTTAGCTGGCAGAAGGGTGAGGACGGAACAGAATGGAACGACCAACAAGCGTTTGCCGTGCTGTTGCGGTCCCAACCAATGTCTGTCGTGGAATGGGAATTGTTCCACCGAAACTCGTAACGGCCCTATCCGACCGCTAATTTATCGAGACAAGTCTGTGATCCAACGGCAAGAAAGAGGCAGCGCTGGCAGCTCGTACAGTTTTGTTCCGTTTCATTGGAAAACGACACGTAAAGTTCGGTTTCAGGGTTGTGTATGAATCCAGGTGGAAAACTTGCCCTTCCTCCGGTACCGAAGAACTGGGAACCCGGGAAATGCTGAGTTGGTGGGTATGGGAAACCCAAAGAGGGGAGAATCGTCGACCACAGGGGAGCTAGTAAACGTGGAAATTCAAGCGTTGTGTTGGATTGCACATCGTCTTTGTTCAAAGTTTGCCTTCTGGTGAAACCGTTCATGCATAAGCTTGAATTTGTTGGTTTGCTTGGAAATATTCAGAGTGCTGGTTTAGATTTTGAAACAAAAAATTGCAAACTCGAAACAGTAGGCAGCAAAAACTCGGGCCGCTTTGTCGTAGGGAAAAATGCTCGAGCAGGTGTGGATGGATGGGATGGGAGCATCTTCGTTCGGCTCCGTTCCGGTACAGTATGGACAAGTTTCATTGCGGAGAAAGTTTTGCGGCTCACCCTGAAGTTGGTGAGGCGAGTCGTTTGGGAGGGATGGGACACAACCGAGTGTGAAAGCTGCTCGCGCAAGCGCCGTCGGGACTGCCCCCAACAGAGGAAGAGGGGAGGTGGGTGGGACAGGAGGGGAGGTGTGGTGTGGGGGCAATGCTGCTGCTGCTGCTGCTGCTGCTCTGCTGCTCTCGCTGCTCACCGGAAAAATTGCGCGACGCGACAGATCCCGAACTTCTCTTAAACCCATCGACCAATCTCGCACCACAGATAGGGCGATCCGAACCTCGGCCAAATGGATCGACCTACATACGATTTTACGTTATTGTCATGCCGCAAACGCGGTAACTCGGCGTTACAGGTGCCTTTTGGTTTTACGGTCTTAATCGCGAAATTACGGCTTGAGGTTCCGATTCTTCCAACATATTTATTTGGTTTCGCTACACGACGCTACCGAGTGATTCAGCATGCTGACCGCGGGCAAACAAAATAAACCCCCTGGCTTACGGCATGCCATTCGGGAGCCTCAACCCTAAAATTTTAGGGTTGAGGCTCCCGAATGGCATGCCAGCCGGATGGGGTTTATTTTTTCTTGCCCGCGCAATATAAATTCCCGTAAACAAGAAACGTGGCACGCGCGCCAAACATAATCGCGCTTCCGGAACAATGACATCGAGAGGGACCACCGACTCTTACGCATCGGAATTGTCTGTCTTTATCGCAAAAGCGCATGTAGGTCGATCTATTTGGCCGAGGTTTGGATCGCCCTACCTGCGGTACGAGATTGGTCACTGGGATTAAGAAAAGTTCGGCGCTTGTCGCGTCGCGCAATTTTTCCCTACTCACCTCAAAATACTGTAGCGCGGCGCTGGCGGGAGCGGCGTGATCCATCACACGAGGTGGCGGTTACTCGACCGTGTGCCTGTTTGTGAAATCCCCTGAAACCTGCACCCCCCTGAACGAGGGAGTTGCTTGATTGACGAATCGAGACCCAGCGGGTCTAGCAAGTTCGAGAGCCAAATTTCCTGGTCAAAGCAATTCGCCCATCTCCCTTATACGGAGATCAGTCCAGTTGTGACACAGACTACACGCGGTCAAGGCATCACGGGGCCTAAAACGAAGTACATCGAATAGAAAATAGCCACTCATACATGTGCTCAATGTACTGCAACAGTGCTGGGGTGGCGATAGATCCCTCCAATGTACACCATATAAAGATCCAACACTTGTTTGAAATTATCAGTTATTCAAATACTGCTGGGCAAGAAAACATTTCTAAAATCATACAAGGCAAAGCATACCCATTCCGCACCGCAGCACCCTAATTAATGCAATCCGGGATGAAGGCGAAATGAAGTGGCAGGCAGAAAGCACAGAGGATCGTGCATTTGCATGCATGTGTAACAGGAAGCCTTTGTATGTGCAAGGGCACAGAAAAGGGTCCGAGGGGGATGTATTCTTCACTAAAAGAAAGGAGAAGGAAATGGAGTGTAGACCATAAAAGCCCAAACTTTTGAAGGATTTAAAGCTCGGTGGAGGAAGGAGCAGCAGGGGAGGAGGAGAGATAGCCTTTGCCAGCAAGAAACCCCACAATGAAGAAGATGAGTGCAGCCAACAGCAAAGCTGTAAAGGACCATCCCTTCGGCCGTTGCACTGGCGCCTTACTCCCTGCCTTGCTCGCTTGCTCCTGCAGGGCTCAGAGTGAGGAGATAGGCGAGGCCAGGCGAGATAACGGGGAGAATGGAGTTGCGGATGGGTAGAGTACAGCAAAGGCAGGACATGAGAGGATGTATGCTGGATGGGAAATGGCTGGGTGGTGGATGGCGGATGGAGGCGGATGGCAATGGCAGATAGCAGATGGCGTATGGTGGTTGTGAGGCGCATCACCTTAAGTCGTTGCAGCTCTCTCACTGCTGCATTTCTATCGTCTGTCATCTTTGTCAGCGCTGTTTTTGCCTGTTAGCAGGCACAAGGGAGCAAGGGGAACAAGCCGAGTGGACTAAGGGAAGGGCAAAGGAGATTCACACAGCAAGAAGTGGCACCAGCAGCGCATGCAATCAGCAGAAGTGCATCAAAGCACCACACTGCGCCCACTTCTTGTGATGCAATACCCCGAAGCCATACTGGCACTGTTTGTCTGTCACATACCCCTGTTCGCAAAGCACGTTTTCCTCCCTGCAGTCTTCCCCATCAAGCCTGTCGACCACTGCTTGTCTCTTTAATCCTGACCCTCGCTTCTCTCACACTTCGCCACACCTTTCCCTCACTTTGTCCACATCTTTTCTGTTTTGTCTCCTTGACCTTACATAATCCGACTCCTGTTGCCCGTCCCCTTTCCGTGAAAGAAAGGTGTATTTCAGAAACTTGCCTCGACTCTACTTCCCTTTACTCCGCCTTGTTGCTTTCACAACCCCTCTATCTACCCAACCCGCCCTCCCCTCCCCGTCCCCACCGCAAACCCTCTTCCATTTCTGCAGTCCCCCGATGCATCTTCTCACTATTACCAGTGCCCCTGTCTTCCCTTCCTTGATGCACAAAATCGTTCCACCTCCCATTCCTCTGTCATCCCCCTTTAAAATATGCACGGTAAGCTAATATCATCCTTTCCAATCCAGCTTCCATTTCACCCATTTTCCTTCATTCTCTTACACCGCTTGCTCATTTCCCCTTGCCTTCATTCCCTCTCGTTCTTTCCCCCTCGTTGTTTCCCCCCTCGCCTCCAACCTCCCCATACACACCTCAGTGAGTTTAGCCTTGAGCTCCGAAACATCCTTGGAACCCTGCAGGGAACAATTGTCAACCATCCAAGTATCAGCACCGTCGCCGTTCCCAAACGCACACGTACGCACACACAGTCAAACACGCGGACACACGCATGCAATGGTACGCACACGCACGCGAGCGCAGATGCATACATGCACACATGCACACACAGACCAAAGTGCCAGAATCGACCTCCCATCTACGAGCAAGAATACCTTTTTCATGTATCAGCACTCTTGAAGAGAAAGCGACGATTCGCCATCAACTCGATCAAAAGAAACAAACCATTGATATTTTTCAACCGCAACCAAACCAAGGCTCTCGAATTCTGAATAATAATGGTACCATGGTTGCCACTAAGCACTCAATTTCGCGCACTCGCGTGTGAGTGCTATCGCACGAACGAGTGTGCGAGTGAAAGTGAACGTGAATAGCCTGGGTGCGTCTTTGTGAGTCTGGAAAAAAACGAACACATGATCGAGCAACAGAGGCTCAGCCCAGAGGGGAGGACGACAACCAGCGGCGCGCAGCTCACCGCATCAGTGGGAGCGAGCCCCTTGGCCGTGGGCGGGAACGAGCTGGGCGTTGCGCCTTCCTCCGCGGTTTCCGCCACTGGCGACGGCGGCTGCGGCGGGGCGACGTACACCACGCGCAGCTTCACCTCGTGCACCTCGCGCCCATTCTCCTTGTTGAACTGCCACGGGGGGGACGCAACGGCGCGTGTGGGGGAGAACGAAACGACGCGCGGGGAAGAATACAGCGGAGAGTGACGGGTAGAACACATGCAGGGTGTGTTTCAGGCTGGGAGCAGAGTGACGGCGGACGGCATGGCGGCTGCGGAGAAGCGAACTAAATCACGAGCAGATGCTTTGAAACACGGTTACGATGCAGATGGGGGTTCATTGGAAAGAAGCGTTGAAACAGCGTCGAAAGAAAGGAGGACATAAGGCGCTTCGGCTCGCCTGGCTGCTAAAACTACACAGAACGGCACACTCTCACGGCTGAGAAACTTGCACATCGATTTCAACAGCAAACCAAGAGTGGGAGTCGAAATTTGTGACGCCAGGAATTTTTTTGACAACAGCCCCTCATCATAACCACAAGGCCCGAATCACCACGACCTGCACATGCATTTTTCCAATCCACACAAAAAAAAAGGTGCCTTACAAAGTCGGCGCTGGCCTCCTTTGGAGCTCCGCCTGGCACGAGCACGCTCTGCACGAGAAACTTGTCCTTGCACTGCATGTCCGCAGGCATCTCCTTCTGCGCTTGCATGGTCACTGGGGGGGGATGGAGATAAAGGAACGGTAGGCGTCGAGAATGTTATGATGCAGACGCGTGGAGTGCTGAACGAACGGCACGAGGAAATAGTTGCCATCGCGAGTACGCAACGGCGCGTGAAAGGAAGAGCTGGGTACAGAGGATGGGTGACAAAACGCGATCATAGTTGCGTCGCACGGACAGGCCGCGTGAGCACATCCAATATTTTCCAAGCCCCAAGACGACAACGAACAACCAGAGAGAGAGCGAATAGGTGCAGGTTGACAAGCAAGGAAGACTCCACGAGAAAATATAAGGAAGGCTGGGATGCAGAAATCAGAGTGCGAGTGGGATCGCTCACCGACAACTTCCGCGCTACTCTGAGGTGGAATTAGGCCCGTGTTGGGCCTCACACAGTATTTCTTCGGTGACGTCGTTTTAACCTCGAAGGGGAAAAGAAGGAAAAAGGCAGATGCACCTACGTAAATAGGAAAAAAAGAAAGGCAAGCACTACTTCATAAAAGCGAAGACGATCAGATGATTGCATCAAAACATGAATACAGGAAGAATAACTAGGCAGCTGAATCAAAAGCAACAGTACAGAAGAGAAACTCAGATACCTTGAAGGCGACATATTCAGACGTGACATTGACTAGCCGCAAGGATGTCGAAACCTGCTTCTTCAGCTCAACTGCGGATTGCACAGGGGACCAGGCAACAACAGTACGAGAAAAGGGTACGTCACGCTTATGATTGACAGATGCTTATGGGCTGATATGGCTCTCCAGAATAAAAACTCAGCTAGTGACAATCGGCAATAATCGGAGAAACGTGCGCACTCAGTATCCAAACCAACGGGCTCGCTGCTAAGTACCATGAAAATTTTATTAAAAAAAAAAAAAAAACTCTAAAAAAAAGGGTCGCTGCCTCACTGTTCAGATTCTTACATGTGAACTTCAGCTCCAGAGGCTGAACCGTAAGGATCTCCCCTAACATGTTGCTTGAACGGTCTTACACGCCAACAAGCGACAGAAGTCAGACTAAGACTCTACGCAGCTATCCGCCTTCGCGCGAACAGAACAGTTGATTAATTCACGGCGGGAATCAAGGCGGCTAAGAAAGGATCCCAAGTTCCAAGCCCTCTTTCGGGGTAGACACTAATCCCAAGTGTTCAAATGGCTTAAGCAAGATCCTTGGAGACAGGAGATCCAAAGATGGCTGACTGACCAAGCAAATTCACAATCAGGGTCCGCAGGGAAATCACAGATGACCACCGAAGATGGGTGGAGGGAGGGGATGAGAGGAGAGGGAGGGGTGGGAAGGAAAGAAACGGAGAGGGAGAGGGGAGCAGTGAGAGCGGTCTAGGGAAGGTGGGTGTGTGGAAACTAGTTTGATGTGGTTCGGGAGAACTTTCGGAGCCTGATTGCTGGTTCGCGCGCCGGCTCGGACTCAGCGAGGCTGTTTTGAGTCTGCTGATAGGCTGGGTCTGGTTCACAACCACGGCTTTGTGGAGGGAAGACGCATGGCGGCGCCTTAGAGGTTCCGTGACCTCGGGAGGGCCAAACCGGACCTACTTCGGAAGCACAAGTTTGAAGTGTAGCAAGGCTCGGGCAGAATGTCTTTTTGTGATTGAATCTCGTCAGATGGCGGGAAAGCCGGGGTACGGGAGAGCTACAAGCCATCCAAAACGAACAAGTTGCACACGTTCACAAAGGAGTACACCATTTGCACAAAGTCTTCTACAGCCCTCTTAAATTTTTAAATGAAAAAAGCACAGATGCACCTTGAGACCTCTCTAACCTAAACGTCGACCAGCAGCTTGGAGATAGTAGAGCATAGAAGCTGCCTGAGCATGAGCTTGCAATTGGTTCTGAGGCCAAGAAACATTCATAGGGAAAGCCCCACGACTTTGCTGGAGAAGTAAACTTGCTTGCTGCTGCTGCAGCTGCCATCTCAAAAGGTCCTGCTGCTGTTGGTCGAATGAGGAAAGAGCAGTAGATAGCGCGGCGGCACCAGTGGTGGTGCCATTGCTTGTGGCAGCAGGGTCTTCTGTTGCTGCTGCTGGTTTCGCCCCCGAGTTGGAAATCTGAAGAACACGTGAAGAAGGATAAAGAATATGTTCCTCATCAATCTAGAGAAACGGTGCAACAAGGCAACACAATAACAAAGGAGGTATCCTCGTTCATAGAAATAGAACACACCAACTCTAGCAGGATATTATACCACAGAGAACACACTGCTCCAGTGTACATAGAAACAGTCTAAACAATCCGACTCAGAGAATAATAATTTGAAAACAATACCTTTACAGCACTGCAGTTCACTCACACCTCACAACACTTCACCCAACCTCATCCAAACCCACTCTTAGAAACCCACTGAACTCCACTAACCTCCACCTGTTGACCGCAACATACCTGGAACCTCAGCTGGCGATTAAACAGTCTGACGAGCCCTGAGAAGAGCTTCACAGCGTACTGTGCGCTCTCCTCTGTCTCATACTCCGCGAATCCGTACCCTCGGTGCTGCCCTGTCGCCTTATCCCGCGGCACGTGCAGATCCACCAGAGGGCCCGCCTGCTGCATCAAATCGTATAAGATCCGATCGTCCACCTGCTGATCGAGATTTCCTGTGGAGGATGGGTGGGAGGGGCGGGTGGGGGAACGAAGTGGTGGGGAATGGAGGGGGTTTGTTGGAGATGGAAAGTGGAAGGGGGAATGGGTAGGAAAGCGGAGTAATTCCTAAATTATTTTTATTAAAGGTGGAGAGGGGGGTGTGAGGGGGAGGGGGGGGGGGGGGGGGGGGGGGGGAGGGGAGGGGGAAGGACCTGGTGGAAGCGAATGCAGCTGAGTCGGTTGGCTCAAAGCTATGCGCTGTCTGGTTGGGCTGAGCGACTGCCCTAGTGACTTGTTGTCATACGTTCTTAGCAGGGCTGAAAATTCAACCAAGAGAAACGGCGGCTCGCGGATCATCTACAGCGTATCCTGTGCGATTATCCTATGGTGTGACAGTCCTATCCTGTGTATAGCGCGACCAGTAAAGCTCACTTTCCGTAAATTCAGAGTTGCGTGATTCATAAATTACTTCTGAGACGTCTCAAAAGTCAACCTCGGAATCAAACTGGTAAACCAGTGCGTTGCGCGAAGCGCGGATACGATTGGCCGGAGAGATGCGTGAGCGTTACCTACGAAGACCGTCGCGAGAGCATTCCGCGCCATGGTTCCGAACCGCCTCGTACTGCGCTGTGCTCTGCTTTGCTCCGACTGGCACCAAGGACCCGGCTACGACGCACGGAAGGAAAAGTACTGCAACAAGTCACACGGAGTCGAACGGTGTCGAGCGGAGTCTGAAATACGGCACCAGGAAAGCTCGCGGAATTGAGACACGCAAAGTGTAACAGCGACAGTGATCAGCACAGTCGAGCGTGATCAACATGTCACAACAACCTCCTAGTTTGTTGAGTAGGGAGGGATAGGGCGACCCCGTCTACTCGCGACCGCGAGTAGTTGTGCTTGCGGGGGGTGGAGAAATGGAGATTCCGAGAATTCATACGCGCTACAGTTCCGAGAAGTTGTATTTGCACTGAGCCAAACATCCATCATTTAGCAAAATGTAGCAAATGTTCAAAGGTGCTCGTTAGGCAATATTATCGTATGGACAGAAACAATGTTAGGTACCGAGATCCTTCTAGCCATTACAGCGTGTTGCGGTGGCATCCCCAAGATTGCATATCAATAAATAGCACACGCCCCTCCCCCACCTTCCCTCGTCCACCCTCCCACATCAGGCGCTCTTCTTCCTCCCATCATCTCTACCACCCTCAACCTTCCCAGCGATTCGTCTCCAAGTGGCTGACACAGTTTCAACTGCAGCATCGACAAGATGAATCGGGTGGGGGGGAGGCTTCATATGCCTCCTCACTTGAATCACAGTAGAAGGTTCAGCTCCTGCCCCCACACTCTGCATTCCTCCTGCACTCTTTTCAGTCACGGCTGGTTCAGTCACATCGCCTTGCTTCCCTGGTAATAGCCCCATCCCGTCTATCCACACACCGTCCTCCCACTCCCCTTCCCCCCATAGGAAAGGGAACGACCAGGGAAGATCGGCGGAGGGTTGCAAGGAGGATGAGGAGGAGGAGGAGGAGGAGGAGGAGGAGGAGGAGGAGGAGGAGGCAAGTGGAGGAGCAGATGGGGAGTGTGAGAGGGAGTGTGTGGAGTGTGGCTCGGGCGAGAGGGGGAGGGGGGTGGTGAAGTTGGAGTGAACGTGTGAGACCCATGAGGAGATGAGGTGGTTGACCACCTAGGGAGGAGAGAGCAGTGGGGGGGCAGAGAGATGGGGGAAAACGAGACTAATGGGGAGAGCCGGGAGAAATGTGGGTAAAAAGAGATGCGCGAGGAAGGGAGAGCACTTGCTGCTTTAGCATGATAGATAGATGGTGGGAAATCTGTGAGGAGAGGTGCTGCATGCCGCACTTGTTACTAGAAAGACAGCACCTGTCTTTCTATACACGACAGAAAGACAGCACTGACTGACTCACATGCACACACACATGCACACGCAGACATGCACTCACCTGCGGCCTCTCGTGGTGCGGGCAGTGGCCGGCAGGGGAGAGTTCAAAGAAGGCGGCATGTGGGAGAGCCCTGGCTGCTCTAGCTGCCCACATGGGCCCCACCCAAGGGTCGTCCCGGCCATGAATGATGCAAACTGGCAGGGCGAGAGAGGCCAGGCTGCGAGGGGGAGGGGCAAGGGGGAAAGGGAAAAAACTTTCGAAGTCGATTCGACAGCCCACATGGGCCCCACCTTCCCACCCAGGGGTCGTCCCGGCCGTGAATGATGCACACTGGAAGGGAACGGGCGGTTAGGCTGGGAAGGGGAGAGGTGAGACAGGAGAGGGGAGTGTTCAAAGAAGGCGGCATGCGGTAAAGCCCTGGCTTCTCTGGCCGCCCACATGGCCCCATCCAGGGGTCGTCCCGGCCATGAATGATGATGATAATAGTAGTGGTAATGGTAATGGTAGTGGTAATGGTAATGGTAATGGTAATGGTGATGGTAATGGTAATGGTAATGGTAATGGTAATGGTAATGGTGATGGTAATGGTAATGGTAATGGTAGTGGTAATGGTAATGGTAGTGGTAATGGTAATGGTAATGGTAATGGTAGTGGTAATGGTAATGGTAGTGGTAATGGTAATGGTAATGGTAATGGTAGTGGTAGTGGTAATGGTAGTGGTAATGGTGATGGTGATGATAATGGTAATAGTACTGGTAATGGTAATGGTAATGTGAATGGTAATGATAATGGTAATGGTAGTGGTAATGGTTGTGGTATTGGTAATGGTGATGGTGATGGTAATGGTAATGGTATTGGTAATGGTAATGGTAATGGTAGTGGTAGTGGTAATGGTAGTGGTAATGGTAATGGTAATGGTAGTGGTAATGGTAATGGTAGTGGTAATGGTAATGGTAGTGGTAATGGTAATGGTAGTGGTAATGGTAATGGTAACGGTAATGGTAATGGTAGTGGTAATGATAATGGTAGTGGTGATGGTAATGGTAATGGTAATGGTAGTGGTAATGGTAATGGTAATGGTAATTGTGATGGTGATGGTAATGTTAATGGTTATGGTAATGATAATGGTAGTGGTAATGGTAGTGGTAATGGTAATGGTAGTGGTAATGGTAATGGTAATGGTAATGATAATGGTAGTGGTAATGGTAATGGTGATGGTGATGATAATGGTAACGGTAGTGGTAATGGTAATGGTAATGGTAGTGGTAATGGTAATGGTAGTGGTAATGGTAATGGTAGTGGTAGTGGTAATGGTAGTGGTAATGGTAATGGTAGTGGTAATGGTAATGGTAATGGTAATGGTAGTGGTAATGATAGCGGTAATAGTAATGTAGTGGTAATGGTAGTGGTAATGGTAATGGTAATGGTAATGGTGATGGTAATGGTAATGGTAATGGTAGTGGTAATGATAATGGTAATGGTAATTGTAATGGTAATGGTAATGGTAGTGGTAATGGTAGTGGTAGTGGTAGTGGTAATGGTAATGGTAATGGTAATGGTGATGGTAATGGTAATGGTAATGGTAATGGTAATGGTAGTGGTAATGGTAATGGTAATGGTAGTGGTAATGGTAATGGTAATGGTAATGGTAGTGGTAATGGTAGTGGTAATGGTAATGGTAGTGGTAATGGTAATGGTAGTGGTAATGGTAATGGTAATGGTAGTGGTAATGGTAGTGGTAATGGTAATGGTAGTAGTAATAGTAGTGGTAATGGTAATAGTAACGGTAATGGTGATGGTGATGTTGATGGTAATGGTAGTGATAGGTAATGGTAATGGTAGTGGTAATGGTAATGGTAGTGGTAATGGTAATGGTAATGGTAATGGTAATGGTGATGGTAATAATAGTGATAATGGTAATGGTAATGATAGTCGTAATGGTAATAGTAATGGTAATGGTAATGGTAATGGTAATGATAATGGTTGTTGGGACCTGACATTTAGGACCCTCACAATAAGGGTCCTGACGTTTGGGGTCCTAGACCTGACTCGTCATATCTCACGTGCTGAGATTCTCATTGAAAGAGAGGCGCGCCTTGGGCGCAAAGAGGATAAGAGGCGATGACAGCAGCCGGACAGACAGACTGGACACACACACAGGCAGCAAACCTGTTGAAGGCCGGGCCTTGGGGCGCGAGGAGAGAAGAGCCGGGTAGAGCCTTAGACAGCTGACCAGACATTTGAGACAGATTCTCGTCGAAGGAGAGGCGCGCCTTGGGGGCGAAGAGGATGGAGGCGAAGGCAGCAGCCAGACAGACTCGACACACAGGCAGGTGACAATTGAAATAGGTGTTCTCTTTGGCATTCTCAACACCAGCACCTGACTTTTCAAAGCTCACGTGCTGAGATTCTCGTCGAAGGAGAGGCGCGCAAATAGGATGGAGGCGAAGGCAGCAGCTGTTGAGGCATGTGCAGAGACGCGAAGGCACCAAAACAGAAAGGATGCAACTGTAACTCACGTGCTGAGATTCTCGTCAAAGGAGAGGCGCGCCTTGGGGGCGAAGAGGATGGAGGCGAAGGCAGCAGCAGAGGCGGGGTGCCGTGTGGGCTGTGCGATGCTGTCTATGAGCGCGGGGGTGAGCGGTGCTGCGTCGGTGTAGACGAGAGCGAGCAGCGAGCGCAGCGTGGTGGGATGCCGCAGACTGTCCCACCTGTGAATGACAGACGGGAGGGAGGGATTGACAGAGAGGGGGGCACGGGTGTTGGTGGACAGGCAGCGAGGGAGGGGGTTAGGCAGGCGGGCCAGGTGGGTGGGTGGGTGGGGGAGGTGTGGAAGGGGAGGGTGCACGATGGTGTGTGGTGTGGACTGGGCGATGCTGTCGATGAAGGCAGGGGTGAGCGGTGCTGCGTCGGTGTAGACAAGAGCGAGCAGCGAGCGCAGCGTGGTGGGATGGCGCAGACTATCCCACCTGTGCGATTGGGGAAGGGGGGAGATTGTGGGAGGGAGGGAATGACAGACACGGGGGAAGGGGGGTTGGTTGGCAGGTAGTGGGAGAGGGGGAGGAGGAGGGAAATTGGATGGGAAAACAAGGAGGTGGGGGGTTGGAAGGGAGGGCCCCGCGCCGTGTGCTGCAACATGGGGAGTGCGAAGCGAACAAAGAGCAGCAGCACCATACCCACCCACAACACCCAGCACCAGCAGCAGCAGCAGCAGCAGCAGCAGCAGCAGCAGCACTCACCATCGCCGGGCTACCAGGCGTGGGAGTGCCGGAACAGGAAGCGACCCGCGCCAGGAGAACGGGTAGAGGCGCGCAAGCAGCGATGGCGCAGGGGCATGGGGGTTGGGGGCGAAGGCCCAGAAGGGCGTGGCGTTGAGCAGAATGAGCCCGCGGCACAGGTGCGGGTGGGTGGCTGCTAGGTACGCGCCTATGTAGCCGCCCAGGGAGTTGCCTGCTATGAAGACGGGCTCTTTGATGACCTGGTGGTTGGGTGCGGTGGGGTGCGGTGCATGAGGGAGTGCGCGCACGGGTAGAAGTAGATGTTCGTGACAAAAGAAAGAAAAGAAAAGAGAAGAGAAAAAGAGCACGGCAAGCCACATGGGAGAGTGCGGTCGACTGTGTTCACTGCAGTAATAATGTTGACTCTGTTGTTGATTGCCTTGACTGCGTTGACTCACCTGGGAGATGAAAGCCGCAACCTGCTCGCACCACATGTCTGACCCATACACCAAGTCCCGCGCCCACGGCTCCGCCCTGGGCCCAAACCCCCAGTCCGCCACTGCCCCCGTTGTTGACTCAATTGACTCTCTTGACTGTGGTGACCCAGATTCTCCCCCCTTCCCCTCTTCTGCCCTTTGCAGCAACGCCTCCTCTTCCTCTGCTGCTTGTGCTGCTCGCTCGGACCGAAGGGCAGCAGCAGCAGGAGCAGCAGGAGCAGCGGCAGCAGGGAAGGGAGCGGGGTCTTTAGAGGGCCAGGACTTGCCCTGGCCAAAGAAATCCATCGCCCACACCCGACACCGCTGCTGCGCCTCTGCTCCCTCTTGCCCTCCTCCTCCGTCTGCTCTTGTTGATTCTCCAGCTGATCCTTCGCCTGTCCCCCCACCTGCCCCTGCGCCTGCCCCTGCGCCTGCCGCCAGTCCGCGCAGCTGCTGCTGGAAGTGGAAGGAGCCCACGCCGAACCCGGGTAACAGCAGCACCGCGGGGAGAGACCTGGGCGCACGGGCACGAGCAGGAGGGGGGGGAGGGGGAAAGGGAGAGGGAAGAGAGGGGGAGGGAAGGTGGGGTCAGGTTGAGGGGATAAGGAGAGAGTGGCGACAGGGGGGGAGAGATTGGGAGACATATGGTTCAGAGGGAAGGGGTTGGAGAGGTTGAAAAGAGAAAGGGGAAGGGAGGGGAGAGAGGGAATAGAGGAACGGAAGGAAGGCTGTTAGACGGTTGCGAGGATTTGCGAGCGACTCAAAGCATGCGCGGGAAGGCCGGCAGTCAGACGACGAAAAATAAACCGGTAGCGGCAGGAGTAGCCGTAGCAGTAGCAGCGGGGTGAGAGATAAGGACGAGAGCGCACGTTGAAAAGGGTTCCAACGGTAAAACCGCAAGCAAACTGCAAGGCGGAGAGGGCATGGGGGAGAGAACACGCGCACACACGGACGCAAGCAACGCTGCAAGGCCGCCAGCACAGCAGGGCGGAAGGCGGCTAGGCGGATTGGCGGCAAAGAGGCGGCAAGCGAGCGCACCTGTCGGATTCATCCCCAGCCACCTCGTAGTGAACCATCCAGTTCTCCCGCCACTCCCACATGCGACTCCGAGGCTCCTCCCAACTCTCCCCGCCGCCGCCGCCGCCGGCGCCGCTCCGCCCGCTCGTCTCGATTCTCCTGTCCGTTTCAATGCTCTTCGCTCTCCCGTTCCCCGCTTCGCCATTCCGCACCACCGTTCCGCCGTTCTCCGGTTCTCCGCTTTTGTCGGAATTAACACCACCTCGCGTCCGCGCCTCCGACGATTCGACGTCATTTGCGGGGGCCGCCACTGCGACGGTTCCCGCGCTGCCGCCAGAGGCGCTCCCGTCGGGAGCCATTTCGCCGGCAATCGCGGCGGGATTTGCGCGCCTGTTGAACCGGCGGCGCGGTTTGCTTGTAACGCGAATCGGCGGCTGTGAGACAGGGATGCCTCGATAGGCGTGCGATGCGGTTAGCAACGGTGTTGATGCACGCGACAGCGGGGAGGAGAAAGGTGACCGTTGAACAAACCAGGCCTCGCTGTAGTGTGCATTCGTGACACTAACGGGGGGCGGCCCGACGGACGGTTGGGGAGTGGCATACGAACGAGCGGGATGAGCAAGGCATATCATCGGGTCGTGAGGAGGAGAAGGGAGGGCGGAGGGAGGAAAAGGAGGCGGCGAAGCGGAATGGCGGCGAAAGCAATAAGTTCGAGGCTTGGAAAGGACTGATACCCTGCACGGCGACTGGGTTGTGAGGTGATGTCCACTTGCCTTCAGCTTTCAATTTGATACTGGAGATCCCTTAGAAGTTGTTGATACCTGGCAATCGAAGCTAGAGATAGCAAGAGGCTGATTATAACGAGACACCACTTGACCTTTGCCGCGCGGGCGCCAACTTTCCCCCCTCCCCTGGTCTGCCACTTCCCCCTCGTCCATTCCCTGAGCAGCGCCAGCTTCCCCTCTCCACTCCCCCGCTGTATGCGGCGCGTAGTCGTGCATTCATGCACTAGAAAACTGTTCAGTAGCGTTGTGCCTTGCTCCAAGGCCAGGTGTTGTTGACCTTCCCATGTGACTCTTGGGGTCGTGAAAAAAATAATAGGAAACGTTTTACGTTAAGCACAACTCCATTATCTCGTCTACAGCATCATTTTGTCTCAACAAATCATGTGTAAGTCTCGATTTTTCCTGCCCCGTTTTGTTCGACCGTTCTTGTTCCGTAGGGATAACGACAATAGGCACCACTGGAGTAAAGTGCGACGTTTCTGCCACTATCGAGCAAATGGGGGAGAATCTTGTGCGGGATGAATGCTGGGTTGGAACCCGAAAACCTATGTTAACCTATGTTAAAATAACTCATGAATTTATCAACCTTCAGTAAAATAACTCCGACGCATGGTAATTTGTGTTTCGGAAACGGACCAAAATTTCTGCGCAGACCCAAACCGAAAACACACAGATCCTCCTTGGTACACCCTCTTTCTCGCCATAGTGAATTCTGGTTTACTGTATTCTCCGCTAGTGGAAACTAACCCAGTACAGAAGCGTGCTATCACCAGCGTTACAGCTGATTTTGAACCTACGCGATCCAGTGTGATGGGTTACGTTTTCGAAAGTAAACTGGAGTTTGTAGAATGGTTGAAAAGGCTATCTCGGGAATATGAATTTTAAGAATCTCCCCTCAAAACACCCACCTGCAAGGGAAAACAGAAAGCAGTAACGTTCAGAAACAGTAGCGGAAAAATCCCGAATACTGCCAAGAAGTAGCGTTCTTGCGCGGTTCAGTGTAGCGGGAAACAGGGTGTAAACCCGCTATTACCACTTCCTCCTGCGTCAGTTACGCCGAGCTTCGCGCCAAGCTTTCGATAGCCTCCCATTTCCCTAATCCAACCCAGTCTCAACAAACTTGTTCACTATCTGGGATCTCCACTCGAAATCTACCTGCAACATACCACCCAACGAACAGACGCCGCAAATATGCACCTACAGATGTATGTAGTTGATAAAGCCTGATATTGTTTTATGAACAGCCTTACTCAACAGACACAGCAGACTCCTGCTGTCTCCCTCTCTGGTTACATTTCGACGCCTCAGTGTCGTTTCTCCAAGGTCTCTTATTAGATTCGAAGTCCATTGCTTGGGTTTCCATGTAACTCGTCTAAACAGCGCAGGCTAACTTCCTCGTATATTATTTTCTTCCATCACCGCACACTGCACACACCATCCCGACAATATATCGTGCCGGCGTGCGCACACGAAAATTTCTCAGTTTTAAGGTGGTAGTGGCACGAGCTATCCTCGCGTGTTTATGCTCCCCTTTCGCGCCAAATCCGCGACCATTCAAGTTCAGACCAACTTATTTCCCTGTTACTGACGGATCTTTTCTCCAAACATCATTATCGTATTACCTTCCCCTTCGACGAGTCGCCTCCTCGTCATAACGTGCGACTCAGCGAATATTAGGTCATACATAACTTTACGCGTTATAGACGGCTGCGCTTCGTCGCTGCGCCCAACATGCGCCCAGCGCAGGGACCCGCTGACGGCGGCGGCGGCGGCGGCGGCGGCGCCGGGACTGGGCCAGTGTTGACGCACACGTACAGCGGCAAGCTGCATGCTTTTCTCAAGTCGCGCACCGGCCAAGCGCCTCCGCGCATCGAGGCGTCCCCCGCGGAGGGCAAAGCCGCGCGCGCCATGCGGAAGCAGATAGAAGAGTTGGTGGGTGCGGGAAACCCTTCTCATGCGTCGTAACGTCGACACAGCAGCCTCACCCTTCCCGCACCTGTCGTTCCCTTGCCCCTCGCTAGCCGCTTTATTTAATATCTCTCTTTTTTTGCTATTAAGTCTGCCAGATTCCTGTTTGCCTCCCTATTTCCCTCCCTGTCCCTCCCTGCACACCCCTCTCTCCCTCCCCCTCTCGCTGTCTCTGTCTCCGCACTACCTCTCGTTCCCTCCTCAGGCGCGCGCTCATGAGTCCGAAGCCAAGACCAACGCAGCATCCTCATCGTAAGACGCGCGCGCACGCACGCACGCACGCACGTATGCCCATTGCCCATTGCCCGCACGCACATTCGCATAGCGAACGAACGAACGAACGAGCGAACGTACGTACCTACGTATTTACGTGCATACATACATACCCTGGTTATCTGCCCCTCTCCCCCTTTTCCCGCCCTTTTCCCTCCCAACCATCGTTCCATCCCGCGCCCATACCCGCAGCCCCCCTGTCCGCTTCGCGCGCACGTTCGCGCGCAAGCACAGGGAGTGCGACGCGGGGGAAGGCCCGGGCATTGCGCAGGGCGGCGGGGGCGGGCGCGGAAGCTTCAGCCTGGACGACGAGCCCGATTGGGGGGCGCTCGCGACCGAAGGCAAGGGGAAAGCTGCGCGGGCGGGCGGAAAAGCCTTGGGCGGACAGGCGGGCGGAGGCGGAGGCGGAGGCGGAGGCGGAGGCGGAGGCGGGAAAGGGCGCGAGCTGGGGCGGGAGGCGGGGGAGGACGCGGAGAGAGAGGCGGAGCTTCTAGAGGAGCTCCCCGCGCTGATCCGCAAGGCGCGGAGCAAGGACGTGGGGGAGGTGCGCGAAGCCGCGGAGGGGTTCCGCGACCTGAGCAAGGGGTCGGAGCGCGCGATCCAGTTCCTCTGCGACGCAGGCGGGCTGATCGCGCTGCTGCAGATGCTGGGTCCCGGCGCGGACGAGGCCGCGACGGAGCATGCGGTGCTGACGATACTGAACCTGTCGCTGAGCAACAAGAGTATCGCAAATCGTTTCCTCGTGTCGGGAGCGTTGATTAGCCTCTCTAGCGTGCTCACGCGGTCCCATAACCCGTCGATTCGCAGCAACACAGCAGCGGCGATCACGGCGCTGGTTGCGCGGGGCGGGACCGCGCAAGTGCCGTCGCTGCACAAGCAGGGGACGGTGCGCGCGCTGCTGGATCTCGCGGAGGAGTCGGGGGAAGGGTCGGACGGGCGGCACGACGCGCTGCGCGCGCTCGCGCGGCTGGCGGGGAGCGAGGCGGTTCGGGAGGAGATGGTGGAGGAGGGCGGCGTGGAACTCGCGCTGCGATTGGCTGTGAGCGGTGACGTGGACGTGTTGGATGAGGTGGCGGCGCTGCTGGCGCAGCTGGGGCGCACGGGGAGCGGGCTCAGGCGCATCTACTCGTTCCGCGCGCAGGGGAAGGGGGCGGGGGCGGGGGAGGGGGAGGAGGAAGCGCAGGGGGAAGGGCGCGGGGGAGTGGGCGTGCTGGTGGGGCTGGTGGTGGGGGAGGAGGGGTCGTCTCTGGCGCGGGAGATGGCGGCGGCAACGCTTCTGCGCATGGCGACTAAGGGCGATGAGGAGTGCCGCGCTGCTGTGGTGGCCGCGGAAGGCACGCTGCTGCCGCACCTGGAGGAGATGGCGGGGGATGACTCGTCTCAGCGGCTGCAAACCAAGGTGCGTGGATGCCCGTGGGGTTCCTGTGGGCTGCGTGTGGTGTGGCATGGGGCGTGGGGCGTGTGCTGTGTGTGAGACACTATGTTATGTGCTGTCGGGGTTGAGAGCGCAGAAGGCACGCTGCTGCTGCACCTGGAGGAGATGGCCGGAGATGACTCGTCTCAGCGGCTGCAGAGGAAGGTGGGTGTGGTGTGGGGGTATGGGGGATGGTGTGGTTAGTGGTGTCTGTGAGGTGTGGGTGGGACAGTATACGGTAGGGTTGAGAAGGCAGAGGGCACGCTGCTGCCGCACCTGGACTGGAGCAGATGGCCGGGGACGACTCGTCTCAGAGGCTGCAAGCTAGGGTACTTGTGTGGAAAGGGTGGGTGGTGGGGGATGGGGTATATGTGTGGTGCTGCTTGCCGTGTTGTGTGTATGCCGTGTTGTGTATGCCGTGTTGTGTATGCCGTGTTGTATATGCTGTGTGCCGGGATACAGAGGGCATGAGGCATGCTGCTCCCTCCGCTTTAGGTGCACATGGCTGGGAATGAGCCGCAGAGGCTGCAGTCGCGGGTACAAGGAGTGGTGGGGTTTGTGTGGGGAGTGGTGCTGTGTGGTTTGTGTGTGCTGGGGCGTGCTGCAACATCCAGAGCAGATGGGGTTCGTTCGTCTCAGAGGCCTCACTGGTGTGTGCGTGTGGCAGCAGGGTTGGGGCACAGGGTGTGGGATGTGGTGAAGGGTGTACGGGGTGTGGGATGAGTTCTCCCAAAAACTGAAATCTGCTTTTCGAGAGTTTTCAAAAAAAAAAAACGCAGGTGTGTATGGTGGGGGCTGTGGGCGAGGAGGGGAGGGGTGTGGTCTGGTGGGGTGTGGTGGTATGGTGTGGTGTGGTGTGCTGCTTACAAGTATTTTTCTCTCCCCTCTCCCTCCATCCCTCCCTCCACCCTTGCCTCCCTCCACCCTTGCCTCCCTCCACCCTTGCCTTCCTCCCACCAACCTCATTATTGTGGCACCTTTCAAAGACTCTTTATGTGCCTCATAACACTTTTCTCCCCTCTCCCTCCCTCCCTCTCTCCCTGCCTCTCTCCCTGCTTCCCTCCCTCCCTCCCTCCCTCCCTCCCTCCCTCCCTCCCTCCCTCCCTCCCTCCCTCCCTCCCTCCCTCCCTCCCTCCCTCCCTCCCTCCCTCCCTCCCTCCCTCCCTCCCTCCCTCCCTCCCTCCCTCCCTCCCTCCCTCCCTCCCTCCCTCCCTCCCTCCATTGCACCATCTCCATGTGTGTGGCAGGCCAAGGGACTTGCTAATGCTCTCGGGCATTCCTGAGTAGCACCACTGCTGCTGCCACGCTCCCCTCTGCTACGCTCCCCCACTGCTACGCTCCCCCACTGCCACGCACTCCTTTCCTCTCCTTATCCCTTTCTCTCTCTCTCTCCCTTCTCTCCATCTCCTGACTCCACTGCAATTCCCCCTTGACCTCCACCGCACTTTCATCAAGCTTACCGCACTGCACCGCTTTCAAGATTTCCACCTATCTAGTGCCACCTTGCTGCCAGGTTCCCTTGTTACAGACACATGAATCGTGGTTTTTTTTCGGACCACCCAAGTCTTGATACGGTACCTGCTCAATTGCACAACTGTAGCTCCTCAAGTGTAGTGTACCATAGAAATTACTGTACTGTTTATTTATCTGTACTGGAGAGTGGTTTAGACCAGGGCCTGTGCTAGGATTTAGGGCACCCTGAGCCCTCAGGGTAACTTTTAAAAATTTTCTTAAATGCCCTGATTTTCCAGGGCAAAATTCCCTGGCCATCCTGAAATTTCAGGGCACCAGCAGAAATTCATCCGGATGATTCAGGGCAAAAAATACAAGGGACTGGAGAGGATGGAGGGGTAGGCAAGAAAGGAGCAGGTTGCTCACTGGTTTCACTGCTGGCTGGGCGAAAACATACCGTAATCACCCGGACAAAACACCCCCCCGTAATAGTACACCCCCGGGTAGCTTGTGCGGGGGGGGTGCTATAGCCGACCTCGTTTGTACTATACCCCCCTTTTTGGGATGATTCTCTATAACACCCCCCTTTTCTTACGAAACCCTATTATAGCTGTTATCGAGTCAGATTTTTTACGGGAATATCGCTTCCTGAATGAAATTTCGCGTGCACTTTCACTTCGAATCTACCGAGATTCCCTCCCTTCCACAGTTTTGCTGTCGCCACGCTGGCGAATCTTCCGCTGCACGTGGCCCGAGAGGTGAAACTCACATTCTCGCCAAAACGCGAATTCTCGCCTCAACATGTGATGTTAAAACGACTATTGAAACACCCAAATTGTCTAATTAAACTTTTTTCTTACACTAAAAAGTGCCATATATAACCACCCGGGTATTATATAGGATTTTCCGTTGAGAGCACCCCCCCCATTTTTTCCCTGTGGTTATTATAATACCCCCGGGTGTTATGTCCGGGTGATTACGGTAGGTGGGGGAGGGGTGGGGACAGAACTACTAGCACACACACACCCCTCCCAGCCTCCTTCCTCCCCTCTCTCTCTCTCTCCCCCTCCACCCCTTCTCCCCTTCCCACGAGTCAGGGCATCCCTCTACATTCACCCTAACGTTTCAGGGCAAATTTTCACTGCCATTCTGAAATTTCAGGGCAAAATACATAGATCATCCTGACGTTGCAGGGTAAATTTCATCGTCATTCTGAAATTCCAGGGCAAACTTAAAACACCATCCTGAAATCAGGGTAATCAGGATGTTTTGCCCTGATATCGTGGGCCCTGGTTTAGACCAGGTAGTGTTCTGCTGCCAGGAGTGTATCCGGGGAACTTACAGTAAGGGCATAGAGGGGGGATCACGATCACATGTGTAAGGAATTTTCTCGAATTCCTTATCGGGGTTGACTGCTGCGCGTACAACCCGATTTTCGGAGTTCGCACGTTCGGGCGATTTCCACGCTGCCGAGGCTCCTCGCGTCGCCTTCGGCATTCCCATCGCCAAACCTGCACCCAACCTCGCTCGTCCGAGGTTTCCTCCTAGCTAGGCTAGCCTACATTAGTCTTTGCATTCATTGTATTCTGGATTCATGCAGTCACAGCCTCGTTATTCGTTTACCTGCGCACTCTCTTTTACAACTCATAACACCTGGTATCAGAGCTACTTTCCTAGTTCACCCCGCTTTTCGAGGGTAGTTTGGTGGCACGGGTGTGGTTGGTTTAGTGACTACACGACGGTTGGTTGCAGAGATTGTTAAGTCAATCCTGCCCGACTCCGATAGTTCGTGTTCTCACTTTCCGGGTGGCCACGGGTAACCGACTGCCCACCAGACGTAGTGCTAGGCACATGGATCAGGAGGCTGTTAACCGACTGATGGCGCAAGTGGCAGAAATGGCGAGGGGCATGGAATCGCTGCAAGCGGAAGTGACAACACTGAAGGAGGAAAACGCCGAGCTACGCCAGGCGCGAGATGAAGCGCGTCAGACGTCGCCTGTGGACGAAGGCGAGGGCAACAGTCAGGGACTGGATGCGCTCACACGTGACTTCGAAGAAGAAGACAGGCAGCGAGCGGCAGCAGCGCCAGTTGCAGTTACGACGATCAAGATCAAGCCCGTCAACCCGCCCCCGTTTAATCCTACGGACAAGACGACTACACCGAAGGGGTGGCTGTTCGGTGTCGAGGTCTTCTTCACGGCAGCCGGCGTTAACGACGATGCCACGCGTATTAATTACGCGGTTTCGCTTCTTCGAGGGGCAGCGCTTGAATGGTGGCGCCGAACCTTGGAAACAGGGACGCCGACAGGTGTGACACATGCGGCAGACGGGACCTCTACAGTGGTTCATCGAACGGCAGAACCTATCTTCGGGGTGACCAAGATTCGCACGTGGAAGGAGTGGGGCGCAGCCTTGCGAGATCGCTTCGAGCACGTATCCGCCTCGGAGCAAGCTCGCATGAAGCTGCGTGCATGGTCGCAGATGGCATCTGTCCAAGACTACACAGCGTCATTCATGGGCCTCGCCGACCAAGTGGACGATATGTCGGAAGCGGAGCGGTTTGCAGGGGCCGCCCGACATCATTTCTCGAAGCTGTACGGCTGGCGGAGTCCACAGATGCGCTGATGCAGTACGCGAGAGCAGCTTCCAGGGATGGGAGAAGCTTTCGTGGCCAGACCCATCGGGCCACGATCAACGCCGTCCATACACCCGACCAACCTCCTAGAGGTCCGTGTTTTCGGTGTGGGAAGGTGGGTCACTACAAGAAAGACTGCCGGGAGAAAATGCCGCTGACAGGGGACGACAGGAAGGAGCAGGGAAATGGGAAGAGTCAGTAAGTAACGGGCCCTTTACTGACTATGCTCCGTCGCCCGAACACCACCATCCCCACCGAGTCGTGGTTCCGATTCATGCAATCGATCGCACTCGGCCGAATAACGGGGATAATCATGTGGATCACCCTGTGCTGGTCGCTGGCAAGGTGGGGAAACATCATCTGAAAATGTTCGTCGATGGAGGGGCCAGCCATAGCCTCTTCAACTTGGCGAGCGCAAAAAGATGCGGTATGCAACTGGACAGGTGTCTGCCCGAAATCGACGCACGACTCGTGGATGGGACGCCTCTGGCGATAACGGAAGAAACACGGACGGTGCGGATCGAGTGCGGCGAAGATTTCGGCTTCAGCATGAAGTTCCTCGCGACGACGCTGGATGGCTGCGACGTGCTGCTGGGACGTGATTGGCTGCGACGACACAACCCCGTCATCGACTGGACAACGGGATCGTGCTGCGTCAGCAAGCACGAGGGGCTAATTAAGTTGCCTGCATGGACACCTGACTACATCCAAGCCCCGTGCGTCAAAGCCATCACCATCGCCCACCACTTCAACAGGGGTGCGCAGCTGTTCGCCGTCTGCTTGCGCGAGTTGGCAGTCGACACCGACGGAAAGGACATCGAGAAGCTGTGTGCAGCTGTCCCTCCGGATTTAGCGGAGCTGATTCGACAGTACCCCGACATTTTCCCGGACGATCTGCCACCTGGACTGCCACCCGAGAGACCCGAAGACCACAAAATCCAGCTGGAACCTGGCGCGCAACCTACTGTTCGGACACAGTGGCGGTTGACCCAGCCGGAACTCGAGGAGCTACGCCGACAAATTGACGCACTGTTGGAGAAAGGGTTCATTCGGCCAAGCACCTCCCCGTTCGCGGCACCGATCCTGTTCACTCCGAAGAAGGACGGCGGGCTTCGCATGTGCATCGATTATCGCGCGTTGAACCGGGTGACCATCAAGTCTCGCTACCCAATCCCACGCACCGACGACCTTCTCGATCAACTTCGCGGCGCTCGCTACTTCTCGAAAATCGACTTACGTGGCGGTTACCACCAGATTCGGGTCTTCGCCGACGATTGTCACAAGACCGCGTTTCGTACACGCTACGGGAGTTACGAATTCACGGTGATGCCTTTCGGCCTCACGAACGCGCCTTCGACATTTCAACTGACCATGAACAGGGTTTTTCGCGATCTTCTAGACCGATGTGTCATCGTCTATTTGGACGATATCCTGATTTTTAGCAAGACACGGGAGCAGCATCTCCGCGACCTGGACGCAGTGTTTAAGCGGTTGCAGGAGAACCGCCTCATCACCAAGGGCTCTAAGTGCGAGTTTTTTAAGCAGGAGTTGGAGTTTTTAGGGCACGTCATCTCCCGCGACGGCATCAAAATCGACCCGGCGAAGATTAAAACCATACAGGAGTGGAAGGCCCCGACTAATGTCACGGAGCTTCAGAGTTTTCTGGGGTTCGTGAATTACGTCCGGCGGTTTATCCCGAATATGGCGGGGATAACCGGCCCGCTGACCGACCTGCTGCACAAGGACAAGAATTTCGTGTGGGGGGAGGAGGCAGAGGCGGCTTTCCAGGAGCTCAAGAATTTTCTCGTTTCCCCTCCTGTGCTGCGCATCGCCGACCCATCGAAGCCGTTCGAAGTTGTAACCGACGCCTCTGATTTCGCCATCGGAGCAGTGCTTCTCCAGGATTTCGGGAACGGGCTGCAGCCGATCGCCTACGAATCACGCAAGCTGCAAGCTGCCGAGCGCAACTACCCGATCCACGACAAGGAGATGCTCGCCATAATCCACGCGTTTAAACTGTGGCGATGCTACCTGGTGGGCGCCGACGTCACTGTGCGCACGGACCACAAGTCCCTACAGTACCTGCGAGCTCAACCGAACCTCAACCCGCGACAAATTCGGTGGCTGGATTACATGGAGAGCCACTTCACCTACCGCATCACGTACAAGAAAGGGGCGAATAACATCGCCGACGCCCTGACTAGACCGACCGTACAATCCGCTGCTGTACTGATAACCCATTCGAACCCGCTACTTACAGGACTATTCACCCACGGCTACACTACGGACCCGTTCTTCACGACAGGAAATCATCAGCAGGCCACGACGCAGAAGGGGGATTATTACCTAAAAGCCGGCACCGACAGGATTTGGGTCCCCGCTTACCGGCTACTGCGTGAACTCCTCATCCAGGAGGTCCACGATTCGAACTACTCCGGACACTTCGGGGTTGATAAAACCCAGAAATTACTGCACCGTCAATATTACTGGCCTGATTCTTCTAACGACGTGCAGCGTTATGTGTCCTCATGCAGGGTGTGCCAAGCAATGAAATCGACACGTCAGCGACCAGCTGGGCTGCTGCAACCCCTCGAGCCACCCGAAAGACCGTGGCAACAGGTGACGATGGATTTCGTCACGGGGATGCCAGCTGGGCCGTCCGGCAACGACGCTGTTCTCGTCGTCGTCGATCGCTTCACGAAAATGGCGCACTTCGCACCATGCCGAACGACGATCACAGCCGAAGAAACTGCGCGCCTCTTCATCTCAACGGTCGTGCGACTACACGGCATCCCTTCGGCGATCATCACCGACCGGGACCCGAAGTTTACATCCAAGTTTTGGAAGGAAACATGGGCGCAGTACGGCACGAAGCTACAGTTCTCATCGGCCTACCACCCACAGACGGACGGACAAACCGAGCGAACCAACCAGACGATGGAGCAGCTGATACGGACAAACTGCCCTGACCTCGCACGATGTGAAGATTCCCTCGCCATGTTAGAGTTTGCCTTCAACAACGCACCGTCAAGCACGACTAATCACTCCCCGTTTTTCCTAAATTACGGGATGGATCCGACGGTTCCCACGGCAACTTCGCTCGACAACCCGGTTTCACGTTCACAGACTTTTGTGATGGAACTTCAGGAAATCCGCGAGAAAGCAGCAGACGCAATTCGCAAGGCGAATATTACTTCCCGCAAATACACCGACCTTCTACGCCGGGAACTCGTCTTGACTACTGGGCAATTAGTGCTCCTCGACACGAAGAACCTGCACCTGCCCGGTCCATCGAAGCTACGGCCCCGATTTTGCGGACCGTTCAAGATTATCAAGATGGTGACACCTGTCACCGCGAAGCTGTTGCTACCGGACGACTGGCGAATTCATGACGCCTTCCACGTCAGCCTGCTTCGCAAGTTCGTGCCAGCCACGACCGACATTGCACGTCAGCAAGCTGCCCCGACAGCTCGACCTGTCCCAGAGCCGACACTCGACCCATCGAAGATTATCGCCCATCGAGTTCGACTTGACGCAGCTGGCCGACACGTGGATTTCTTAATCCGCTGGACTGATCGCACCAGTGAGGACGACACGTGGGTGCCATCCGCCTCGCTCGACGCCTCGCCACTTGTTGGTGATTATTTGGCGCGCAAGCGTGTTTCGGATATTGACCGCCTTTCTCAAAGGGGGGTGGTGTAAGGAATTTTCTCGAATTCCTTATCGGGGTTGACTGCTGCGCGTACAACCCGATTTTCGGAGTTCGCACGTTCGGGCGATTTCCACGCTGCCGAGGCTCCTCGCGTCGCCTTCGGCATTCCCATCGCCAAACCTGCACCCAACCTCGCTCGTCCGAGGTTTCCTCCTAGCTAGGCTAGCCTACATTAGTCTTTGCATTCATTGTATTCTCAGTTCATGCTGTCACAGCCTCGTTATTCGTTTATCTGCGCACTCTCTTTTACAACTCATAACAACATGCATGCTCCGCTACTATCCTTTGCCGGTGTTTTGACTTGAGTTATGTCTACAGCAAGATTTGCAATAAAGACTACACAACACAGAAGTGTTTCAAAATGCGGATATACCGTAGTGTAGGTATATTTTGTATTGAAATCTGGCGAGTACACTACTAACCTGTTTGACCTGTGGCCCACTGTTTGACAGCGTTGTAAGAGAGCCATGAATCCATGAAAGGTACCACGTGCTTCACAGAAGGCACTGGCAGGCACTCACTCTTCTGACATGATGAGTGCTGATATGCAGTTGTGTTAGAATAGTAGCCTTAGGGTTTGGGGTAGCGTGAGCGAGAGAAACAGGAAGGTGAGGTTCACTACAGCAAGGTTACAAGATATAGCAAAGAAAGGTGAGCACATTGGTGCACCACCACTGTAGCTACACTAGAACACACAGCAAGCAGGGTATATAACAAAACTTAACACACCCCCTTAACCTGCTTGCCGTGATAACTAGTACAGGTACACGTGGCGCAGCGGAAGAGGGTAGAGAGGTTAGGAAGGAGGAGGAGGTGAGAGGAGAGGAGAGGAGAGGAGAGGAGGGAAGAGAGAGAGGGATGAGGAGAGGTGGGGGGCCAGGAGCGGCGGACCCGCTTACGAACCTCCTTTTACAAAGGGGGGTTGGGGAGGAGTGAGGGAAAAGGAGAGAAGGTGGGGGGCCAGGAGCGGCGGACCCTCTTAAGAACCTTCAGAAGGTGGGGGGCCAGGAGCGGCGGACCCTCTTAAGAACCTTCAGAACTCAACTCAACTCAACCACCCCCCTTTAACCTCACTCCATGAATCTGCCATCCCCCCAATGCTCACCCTCACACTCCAGTCAACTTCACTATCACCACCCCCTCACCTTCTGCACTTCTCTCCCCCCCCCCCCCTTCTCTACGGCGACAATCCCTGCAGTAAGAGAGAGGGGAGGGACGGGCTGCAGGCAGCTCACACACGCCACCCACACATCTCCCCCTCCTCCCTCCCCACGACGGAAGCAGCGGAAGGGAGGGCGGGCGGGGGGGCGGGGCGGCGGTAGCTGCTGCTGGCGCTGGCGGTGGCGCTGGCTGGTGCGCAGGCGCGAGCGGCTGGCCGCGGTGCTGGCGTCCGCGCTGACGGGCCACGCTCGCGCTGGCGCCTGCGGTCCGGGCTGGCGCGGGCGCTGGCGACGTTCCATGCAGGTGCTGGCGCCCGCCGGCGCTGGCGTCCGCGGCGACGAAACGGGGGGCCCCGGCGCGTCGAAACGGGTGGCCGCGGGGCGACGAAACGAGGGGGGGCCGCGGGGCGACGAAACGGGGGGGCCGCGGGGCGACGAATCGGGGGCCGCGGGGCGACGAAATGGGGGGCCGCGGGGCGACGAATCAGGGGCCGCGGGGCGACGAAATGGGGGGCCGCGGGGCGACGAATCAGACGGGACGAAGAGCGCGACGGGAGGAAGAAAATAGCGCATTTCGCGCTGTTGTACGGGCGGGCCCATAATTCTTAAAAAAAAGGGAAGGTTCCGGGAAAGAACCTGCTCTGTACCATGTTAGAATAGTAGCCTTAGGGTTTGGGGTAGCGTGAGCGAGAGAAACAGGAAGGTGAGGTTCACTACAGCAAGGTTACAAGATATAGCAAAGAAAGGTGAGCACATTGGTGCACCACCACTGTAGCTACACTAGAACACACAGCAAGCAGGGTATATAACAAAACTTAACAAGTTGACAGCACCGTTGGAAAGCCATTTGAGCGCAAAATTCCTAATAGGTCCCGTTACCCGTATGTGTTTCTCTGAGGTGAGGGGCCTGGCACCGGGACTCAAGTGTTGTGCGGTATAAGCTTGACATGACAGCTGTGGCAACAAGGACCATGATGAGCGCTGATATGCAGTTGACAGCATCGTTGGACAGCCATCGCAGCCCTGATATGTGCTTCACTGAACTTAAGGGGCCTGGCACTGGTTAAACTGAGCCAGCTCAAGTGTTGTGCTATAAGCCTGACATGACCGCAGCGGCAACAAGGGACATGACGAGCGCTGATATGCAGTTGACAGCATCGTTGGAGAGCCATCTGAGGCCCGATATGTGCTCCACTGATGGGCCTGGTGCTGCTACCACCTGCCCATGCGACAGACCATACGAATCCCGACACATGGAACATGTAGAGTACGGGGTATGATGAGCATGGGATGTGGCATGTGCATGGCATGAGAAAAGATGAGCATAGGATGTGGAACGTTTATGACATAAGGTACGATGAGCAAGCGGCGTGGAACATGCATAGCATGAAGAAAAAGAGGGGCATGGGACATTCAAACAGCCCTGCTGGCAGCAGCAACAGGGCAACGAAGCACAGCTACAGCAGCAGCAGCAGCGGCGGCGGCGGCGGCGGCGGCGGCGGCGGCGGCAGCAGCAGCAGCAATTGCCCTCACCTTTTTCCTGACTTGGCAGAACCCGCTATACTGCAGCGTTGCACCTAGGAGCGAGTCAAGAAGAGAGCCCACCAGCCCTGCTGCTAGCCCCAGGGGCACCGCTAGCACCTGCAGCCACACCAGCTGCCGCTGCTGCTGATGCTGCCTTTGCTGTCCTTGCTGTTGCTGTTGCTGTTGCTCAGTCTCATGTCCCTTGATCCCTTCAGGCCCCACGCTATCCTCTTGTCTCTTTCCACCAGCACCAGCACCACCAGCAGCAACAGAACCAGCACTGCCTTCCTTCAAATCCGGTGAATAGGAGGAGGAGAAAGAGGAGGAGGCGGAAGAGGAAGAGGAAGAGGTGGAGGCAGAAGAATTGACACTATTGTCTGTAAACTCGCTGGTGAAATGCAAGGGAGTGACGGAGGCAGGAAGAAATTGAGGAGAAGGCGGAGGAACGAGGTTGGAGGAGCAGAGGGAGGTGGAGAGGAGACCCGAGGCCAGGAACACAGCTCCCATGAACGCGCCCCCTGCTGCTGCCGCTCCTAGGCCCATGAGTGACACTCCCCCGTTCGTGCCCCGAGGCACTTGCTGATTGTGGCGATTGGGAGACGGGGCGTGGAGAAGGGAGGGGAAGGGGAATGCAGGGGGTGGAAGGGGGTTGTAAATATGGAGAGAGGGGGGGAGAGAGGAAGAGAGAAAAGGGAGGCGAAGGGGGAAGGTGGGGAAATGAGGTTAGGGGGTGGGGGGATAAGAGGGTGGTCAGGGGAGCAAGAGAGCGTACCTGCAATGTAGTGATGAGGCGGGGATGCTTCTTGCTGAATGGGTGCGGGGGGGAGGAGGGAGGGTAGATGGATCTCAGGACAGGGAGAGCATACCTGTAGCGTGGTGATGAGGCGGGGAGGCTTCTTGCTGAGGGGTTGCAGAGGGCGTGGGAGGGGGTGAGGGGGGGTAGACGGAGCTTAGGAGAGCAAGAGAGCATACCTGCAGAGTGGTGATGAGGCGGGGAGGCCTCTTGCTGAGCACACCAATCTCAGACGACCACGTGTCCCCAGCACAGGCAGCATAGTGGGCTAGGAAAGCAGCTAAGAGCATGCGCTCCCACCGCTGCAGCTCCTCTCCCCCACTCTCCCAACACCTGTCCTGCCATCCCCACCCCTCTCCCACCCCTCCCCATCCCCCGAGCTTGCCCCATCCTGATCCCCACTCGCCGAAATCCCACTGCCGTGACGGGTTAGCAACACTGCTGCTACTGTTGCTGCTGACGCACTTGCTGCTGCTGCTGCTAGTGCCTTTGCCGCTGCTACTCGAGCTGCTGCTGATGCCGTTAACGCCAGCCCAGCTTAGAGTGGGGAAGCTGCCAGCGCCAGAGCGCGTGGCAGGAGAGACGAGCAGCAGGAAGAGCAGAGCCACAGTGGTGGCGGCGATGCTGTTGCTCAGCACCTGCCACCTGGGGGGCGGGGAGGGGGGTTGTGGGGAAGGGGGGTTGGGGGGAAGGGGGGTTGGTGGGAAGGGGGGGTTGGGGGGAAGGAGGTGATGGGGAATGGTGGGTTAGTGGAGAGTGCTGGCAGTGGTGGCGGCGATGCTGTTGCTCAGCACCTGCCTCCTGATGGCGGGGGAGAGGGGGAGAAGGCCGAGAAGACCGAGAGAGCCGAGACGGCCGAGAGGAGGCAGGGCATGCAGGTGGTTAGCAGTGCAGATACAGGGTACACAGAGAGGGGGACAGTAGACCCCGAAACACTCGCACAACGCCCAGCCCAGCCCACACCACCACCAGCCTCCTCCACACGCCCGAACAACACTCAGACGCTAGTGTCTGAGAGGCATCATATTGATTATGAAGTGTCTGAGAGGCTTCATATTGATTATGAAGTGTCTGAGAGGCTGCAGATTGTTTCTAAAGTGTCTCAGAGGCTTCATCGGGACACTGCCCTTCTCACACCAGCCCATCCCACACTGCCCTTAACTGCATGAGCCCTCCCCTCTGCCACCCGACTCCCCCTACCCACCCCTCCTTGAAGCGCTCCTCCAAGCCACGCGCCCAGCCACGCCACACCCTACCACGCCCAACCGCACAACACCCCAACCGATTCCACTGTTTTCTGTTCGCCGCCCCTTCCTCCCCCCGACCTCCCTCCCCCCGCGCCGCTCACCCGTCGCGCTGGCCGCCCTCCTTGAAGCGTTCCTCCACGCGCCGCTTGTGCTGCGCGCCGAGCCGCGTCAGCTTTGACGACGACAGGAAGAAGGCGATCAGCGTCACGCCGAACCTGCCGGCGCGCGCGCACGGCGCGGATGCGGACGACAAGGCGGGCAACGGGGACGACAAGGTGGGAAACAGGAACGACAAGGGAGCGAAGAGCGGGGAGCGGGGGGAGAGAAGGGTCGGTTTGTCCTTTGAGGAGCGAGAGGGGCTGGGGGGAAGACGACCTTTTGTACGACATCACTCTTACACAACTCCGTTACCAAATTCGCAATCTTTTCGCACTTTTTTTTCGAGATCCTACCAGCCCCCTATCGCGCACGCAGCGCACCTGGCGCCGGCGGTCATGGTGAGCGATCCCACGACGAACGCCGCTGCAGCGCCGGATGCGGAGAGCGACCGTTTCCTGAATCCTCGCGCCGCCATGAAGAGGGCAAGCGCGCACGAGAACGCCACCCATGCCGCTGGCCCCAACCACGCCACTGCCGCCGGTGCCGCCGTTACCGCCGCCGTCTCCGGCGACGCGGATGCCGCACAGGATAGTGCACCCGACACGGCCGACACGGACTGGTCCATGGCGATCGACTAAAGAATAGAGGGAGGACGGACGAGAACGGAAGACGATGTGGGTGTCACGAGAAGCAAGGGAGGGAGGTAGGGAGAAAGGGAGGGAGGGATGAGGGCGTTGCTTGCTGCGCGCCGATACAAGGGTTCTTGGGACGCTGCAACCGCCAAGGGTTCTTCGCGAAGCGACCGCCGCGACGGTGCCCCTAGACTTTGGACGAAGCCCCGACTTCTACGGGATCTCTGACGTAATTGGTCGTGAGGATTCTATCTTATAAAAGCAGGACAAGCGGCAAGAACCGCTCAAGGCCTACGAGAATACGATGGTCAGCAAGCCGCGCGAAGTGAGGTTAACAAGTCGCGCATGCCGGCCGCATGGCCTCAACGAGCTGCGAGCGCGGGATCGAACGGCAGGCATCGAACAGCCGTCGCGACAGGATGTGAATCCTCAAGAAATCTGTCGGTCTCTAGCAGGGAACGCGCGACAGGAACTGAATCGCAGTAAAATCTTGAGCTTCCTACGGAACTCCCGCGTTCTGGATTTGAAAAGTGAGATCGTCGTCGTTCTCAAATCTTGCAACTTGAAAACCAGTCGCCCCCTCAATGCGTTCGTTTTGTTCCGTCAACTCCCATTTCCCTCGATCATACCGAATCGCACCCAACCACTACCTGACACCCGAACCAGAGGCGAACCACACCAACAGGTTCTTCGCCTGTTGCTGGTGGGTGTTGCTGCTGGGTTTGGTTTGGTCTCAATTGTGGAGGTTTTCGGGCAAAGATCAAACTGGGGCCGAACATTAGCAGAGAAGTGACCAAATTAGGGCCGGGTAAATCCCGACCGTTGGATATACCCCCGGGGCTGCCCAGGTGGCTGGGCCTAGGTTCCGAACCGAGATCTAAAGGAAATTTAAAAATATCGACTGTTTTTGTTCAGTGATTTGTTTTATATTAAGATCGCCGCCTATTTCGAAGCTCGCGTCGAATTCCTCTGGGGGTGGTTTCGTAGTGTTTATATTTTTTTAGAACAGCAGTACAAGATTGTTACTTGGAAAAATCACATCACTTTTCCTGACAAAAAAAAACCCAATCGGAAATGGATGCGACTCGGGGAGGCATCAACCCTAAACTCCAGGGAGGTTCCCGTGTTTAGGGTTGATCCCTCCCGAAAATGCATCCAGGTTCCCTAGGGGTTTTAGTTTTTCTGGTCTGCCCTGACAGTTCCGGGTTGCGTCGTCTAGTGCTTGGTAGCGCAAACGAGTGGAAAATACAGAGATGTTTCGACAAAAAAAAAACCAAAAGTTTACTCTCCGTCAGTTACGACGCGTGGGGCGGTGAGAATCTCGGACAAGTGAAATCCCATACGCTAGCATGGGAAAGTCGGTTGTTGACTCCAAAAATTCAGGTTCGGCTATTTGGCCCTAATTTGGACACTTCCCTGCTAATGAAACCCTGGCCCCAATATGATCTTCTCCCGAGGTTTTTTGCGGTAATTTCAGGCGTGCGGGCATGGTGCGGTTGCCAGAGTTGCACGGCAAGATTTAAAGTCGGAATTGCCAGGAAAAATATATGTGAGCAATTCCAGTCCAGTACAGTGAACACTACGTAGTCACCTTATAGCGTGATAGATATGTTCGTTTTGTTCAGACCTAGAGTTGGTTTGTAGGCTAACAGCTTCTCTTCACATTCCCTCTAAAAATTTGTCCTCAGCTGACAACTCCAGTCAGCCTGAAAATGCAGCTCAACAGGGTGTTTAGTTTCCTACAATCCATGACACGTGTGATGTGCGTATCGAGAAAGCGCGGAACTACAGTAGACCACAGCTAACAAAAACACAGTACAAACCACTGCATTCCTGCCTCCCCAAGGCATAGTTTGCAGCTTCTAATCAACTCTTGTTGCTACCTGTAACCAGCACTTGAGCATTTAAGCAAGAGACTCCTTGAGCTTGTCAGCAACGGCTTCAATGAACTCCTGGGTGTTGAGGTAGTCATTGCGAGACACACTGCACGACACGGGATACAGCAAAAAGAGAATATGCATCACCAGTTAGCACATAGATACAGTTTGCCCTCCGACAATATCATGTGCAAAATAACACTCAAGGGAAAAGTATTTATGGAAAACAGGAACAAGAGACGGCAGGTCATGTGGGATGGTAAAGGTGGGAACGGGACTTGTGAGATGAGGCTGGGACAGAGGCTGAGAGGAAGGTTGGAGGGGAACTGAGAAAGTCGAGGAAACAAGAAGCAGAAGGGGAGTAATAAGTGCACTCACTTAGGCGTGTGCATAATGAGTGGGAAGGAAATGTATGACAGTGAGACTATGGGGCAGAGGGAGCGGTAAGACAGAGAGGACTTTGGGGCACAAGGAACTGTGGGGAGGGCGTGCACTCACTTGGGGCCATGGATGATGAGCGCGAGATCCTTGGTCATCTTGCCGCTCTCCACTGTGGACACGCACGCTGCCTCCAGCTTGCTGCAGAAATCCGCCAGCTTCGCATTCTCATCCAGCTTAGCCCTGGGGTGAAGCGCAAAGAGAAAAGGCATAACATTGGAAGAGCAGAAAAAAACAGAAAGAGCTGGCAGGGTGGGAATGCGGAGTACAGGAGGAAAAGGTGTAGATCCAAGAACAGACCACACCACAGGAAAACGAGAGTGCAATGGGGGATGCATTGACCAGCACGAATGAGAGAACGGGAGTGTGAGCAGCACCTGTGGGCGAGGCCACGGGTCCAGGCGAAGATGGAAGCAATGCTGTTGGTGCTGGTCTCGCCGCCCTTCTGGTGCACGCGGTAGTGGCGCGTCACAGTGCCGTGAGCAGCCTCTGCCTCAATGGTCTTGCCATCCGGGCACACCAGCACACTGGTCATCAGCCCCAGAGATCCGAATCCTGCAATCAAAGACAGCCACGAACGTCAGTGAGTGTAAATCCTTGGTAAAACGCACTAAAATGCGGTGGAACATTCGAAAGGCCTCCACAGCAGCGCAACAATCAATGTATACGGGGACAGTATGTACAAATTATGTAGTTTATGCTGTACCTTGAGCAAGCATGTCGCTCTGCACGTCTCCATCGTAGTTCTTGCACGCCCACACATACCCGCCGTCGCTCTTCATGCAGTACGCGACCATATCGTCAATAAGGCGGTGCTCGTACCAGATCTTCTCCGCCTCAAACTTGGCCTTCCACTCCTTGTCATAAACCTCCTGGAAAATGTCCTTGAACCTGCACAACCATAGGTGCACTATGCTTACCGTATCTGCTTGCAGAAGGAAGGTTTGGTAAAAAGGAAAGACCTAGATAAACAAGCTAATCAGGGAGAGTTCCTCCCCAGTACACAGCCTTAGGGTTTCAAAAAGGCATTAACTCACCTTCCGTCGTATTTCTTCAGAATGGTGTTCTTGGTGCTGAGGTACAGCGGCCACTTCTTCTCATAGGCCAGAGCCATGGATGACTCGGCAAACGCCTTGATCGACTGTCAGGAAACAAGACGTGAACTCATGTGAGCGGACAGCTAATGACAATTAGGCTGACACGATTTTAAGAGGCAGTGCTCTATGTCAATCAGCAACGCTGGGTTCAAAGCGCGGTCGTGGTGCTTACCTCGTCCGTGTTGTACATGGCAAGAGCAACACCGCCAACGCCCTTGAAGTCGTAGACCTCGTGCACCTCAGGCTCACCTCCCTCCCTCTCTGCAGTGGAGGAATGATGGAGATGTTGTTATTGATGAATGACCTGGTCACGCAGCTCGTTCGCTATTGTTCTTGTTCCTTTTTATTTTGCCATAATTTTGCAATTTGCTTATTGTTAGCTATTTCAAGCGGAACGTACCGTACACAAGCTTGAGCTTTCCAGGTCCAGGGATCACAAGATCAGTGGCCCTGTACTGGTCGCCAAAGGCATGACGGCCAATAGTAATAGGCTTCTTCCATGCTGCCAACGGCGAAAAAACAGGCAATTTAGCACGCTAGGTTGCAGAGATAATCAGAAGACCCTAAACCCTGTGCGCGTCGAAATTGTAGGGCCACATAGAAAACAATCAATTGAGTACTTACAAGGCACAAGCCGAGGAATGTTCGACATCAGAATGGGTTCACGGAAGACAGTCCCTGCAAAATTATGGAAGGACGAGGTTTAGTCAGAGCTATGGACAATTTGCACGAAATTCGCATGCATTCATCGCGAACCGGCTGATTGCAGTCGGTAATGTGACCCAGCCATTCGTACCATTCAGAATGTTACGAATTGTGCCGTTAGGGCTCTTCCACATCTTCTTCAGGTGGAACTCCTTCACGCGTGCTTCATCTGAGAGACATAACCACATTATTTTAACATATGTCAATTGAAGGTCAAACAGCTTACACAACACATAATAATCGAGAACACGAAGCTACAACGAACCTGGAGTGATGGTCGCGCACTTAATGGCCACGTTGTACCTGGAAAAGATGGTTAATACAAAGAATGAGAGGCGTTACTTCAGGCGATTAAAAACGAGCCAAGATTGGTGACAAACATGCACTCCTTATAACCGCGTCATTCACGAAGCGTAACACACTTTCACAAAAAACACTTACTTGAGAGTGGCCTCCGCGGCGTCAACGGTGACCTTGTCATCAGTCTCATCGCGATGAGGAAGGCCAAGATCGAAGTACTTGATGTCGAGCTCTAGGAAAGGAAGGATCAACTGTCGAAGGAAAAACGGAAAGCCGACAGTTAGTAAATCAACTGCAAGGAAGCAGCCATAAAATGCAGTCTAGGGTTTATGGGTCTCTCACCTTCTGCTTGATCATTTCCCAAATTATCCGCGTCATTTCATCACCTGCAGTCAACGAATCGCGGGCATATTATCCATGAGTATAAGGATATGAATCTTCTTAACAATCCACACGTGCAGCCTAATTGCTAAAACTTTGCCACAACTATATATCTAATCTCGTACCGTCCATCTCCACGACGGGATTGGCGACAACGATCTTCTCGAACGCCATAACGACGGGGCTTCTTGCAGAAGCACGGACAACAAGTTTAACTGGTCGAGGAAACGCCGAGCGAACCGGCGACCAAGAAGACTTGGAAGAAACTGAATGAGCAACGGCAGGCCCAGAAAAGGGCTTGACAAGAGAGATATGCCTGTGAACAAGCGTCGTCATTCAACCATGAAAGAGCTCCTTGGGAAGGATTTTGTGCGGGATGTGTGCAGCGCAGGGGAATGGTTCTCCTTCGCCTCCGTTCCGCTCCTCAACAGGCTGATTCTGTTCTGTCTGAATTCCACGAAGTGTGGATAGACCAGCAGTAGAAAATCTCCTTTCTCGTCTCCGTCCGTCAGGCATTGACGGTCGCAGATTCCGTTCAGTCACAGATCTAGGGGGAAGAGGTAGTCACAGAATGCCGTGCCGTGCCGTGCCGTGCCTGATCCCACCAGCGCAGGTTTTCTCCAGATCTCGCGGGCGCTGCGTGGGATAGATTGGTGCTGTCGCCGAACTCCAGGCCAATCAGGCCAGCGCGGACCAAGCACGCTGATATTTTTACAGGCAGCTGCCCCCTTGGATGAGGTGGGCTCTACGGTGGCCATGTGGCCAAGTGTGGTTGGTTCTCCCTTGTCTGATTGGAGCGAGGCTTCCAAATGTTTGGAGGGGCAGGAGCAACAGTGGTTACCACCACGCAATGACATCACCACAAGCCCCAACCAAGCAGCACCGCTGCATTTGGATTTCCTCGTTATACAAAGATTCTATAAACAAGCAGCCATCGAATTCAGACCTCGATACGTTTCAGAAAAAATCCATTTACGTAAATGAAAATCCATGTTGTGGTGTAAATGCTCCGATAAGGCCCCCCTAGAGGTGATCCGCTAAGAACGCCAACTACGGTTCCCCTTTCACCCGCCTTTCCTCTCACACAGCCGCACCACCAATGTTCCCCGTTTCCCGCCAATCACTTTCCGCCCGCACACCCGCCCGCCCGTTACCACTGTTGTCCCGCGCCCGTTCCCCTCCCGCCTATCCTCCGTCGACAGCGCTTTTCCCGCACAAGCTCCGATCTCTTGCGACGTTCCACGTCATCACCTCCACGCTTAGTTGTCACTCCGCTGTTTTTGCCGGGTGCCGGAATTAGGTTACCGGTGTAGCTCTGTCGCACGGTTTCGCGATTGTCGTCGCGACTAAATCGGGCATCATGCCGGCCTCCGCGACTGTGATCGGCGCCGCGATGGGCCTTGGCGTGCAGTTCTACAGCAACGCCGTGCGAAAGCTCCCCCTCATGCGACGTGAGTCCACTCATGCGACGTGTGTCCGTCGTGCGACGTGAGGTAGCTCATGCGACGTGGTCTTCTCAGCGACTCTCTGTGTGATTCAGGCGATCGCGGGATTCGGCGAGTAGGCGATCGCCCCGCGTCGCTTCAGCAGCAGCAGACGCAGCAGCGTCACGTGTCGCGTCTTTTATGATCGAACGACAATTAGCTCCAGCTCTTCAAACCCTAATGGCCTCGCATCGCCGGAACTTATGACTCACGCTCTCTAGTCATCCCCGTTACAGCTCCGATCTTCAAACCATAGAATGAGTTGCTTCAAGCACCTCGCGAGAGACTCACACATACTTCAAGACTGGCGCTAGCAGTCAACTCACCATTGCCTTGCGTTGTGTTGCGTTGCGTTGCGTTACCTGAAGCTAGCTAAATTTCACCATTGTATTCACCATTTTGGGAAAGTCTTATGACCTCCTACTCCTACTGCTGCTCCCACTCTTCCTCCTACTCCTATTCCTCACCCCCACCTGGTCTCATCCGCTAAATATAAGAATCGCGGAACCCTGTCAATGCTGTTCTTCCCTGGCTTATCTCCGTCCTTCGCGCTCCTCTCACGCTGCGACTCAGCTCCCTTTTTAAGCGTCCGTTGCGCTTCTGATCCCTTCGTCTCCCCTCATTCTCGCCTTTGATCCCTCAATTCCTCCTCTGCTGCAACCCCGTGCTTAAGCATCTCGAGTCCTTTCGTTGTCTCCCACATTGCCTTACTCTCATTCTCTCTCATTCTCTCCCATTATCTCCTCAGTACAGACTCCTGTGAGCACGTGGCGATGGCTGCGTACGCTGCAACCCAGCTAAGCAGTTCGTTTGCCTCTGAAGGGGTCTCCATGAAACATCACCATCCACGCACAACACTCCCTCTCTCTCTCTCTCTCTCTCTCTCTCCCTCCCCCTCCCTCGCGCAGACCCCTGGGAGCACGTGCTGGGCATGGGCATCGACGTGGCGAACCGACGTAGTACTAGGCACAACTCATTCCCTCTTTCTTTCTTACTCTACCTCCCTCTCCCCGCAGACCCCTGGGAGCACCTGTTGGGCATGGGCATCGGCGCGTACGCGGCGAACCAGCTGGTGGCGTTTGAGGCCAAGGCCGCGGCGGACCTGGAGAAGCAGATCGAGGAGGCGAGGTCCGCGCAGAAGCGCCGCTTCATTGGTGCGTGAGGGGAAGGGAAGCGGGGGGGGTGGGGGAAATTGGGGGGGGGGCTCTGGGGGAAGGGGAGGCTGGGGTGGAAGGGCGATTGAGGGGTGGAGAGTGGCGATTCAGCGGTGCATGGGGTGTTGGGGTAAAGGGAAAGCCGGAGGGAGGGAACCAGCTGGTGGCGTTTGAGGCCAAGGCCGCGGCGGACCTGGAGAAGCAGATCGAGGCCGCACGCTCCGCCCAGAAGCGGCGCTTCATTGGTGCGTGAGGGGGGAGGGGGGAAGGGAGAGGGGAAAGGGAGGAGGGGGGAAGAGGAAAAAGGGAGGATTGGCGGGTGGGGAGGGGAGATGCGGTTCATTGGTGGAGGGTAAGGGGGAGTGGGTGTTGGGGTTGGGTTTGGGTCCAGGGGCAGGAAGAGGCACTTAAGTGGTATATCAAGTGGAAAGGGATGGAGGAGGAGAGGGGGGAGGGAGAGGGAGTGAGTCAGGAGGGGGGCCCGGGAGGTGGGTGAGGGGGAAGAGTGTGCCGAGAGCTGCTGGTGGTTTGTACTGTTCCCTCTGAACCCCTCTCCCCCCCTCCACTCCCTTCCCCTCCTCCCCTCTCACATCAACCCCTTGCAGGCACCATGCGGACTAAGTGGCGTTGTGTGCTTTGCTTGCTCTCTGTATTTGTCAGTTTACCGCCTCCGTTGTACAACCCAGGACCCCACCTCCCCTCACCCCTCCTCACCCCTCCTCACCCCTCCTCACCTCCCCTCACCCCTCCTCACCCCTCCTCACCCCTCCTCACCTCTCCTCACCCCTCCTCACCCCTCCACACCAACCCCTTGCAGGCACCATGCGGCCTGAGTGACACTCTATGGCACCACTCTACTCGTGAAAACTACGCCTTGACTTCCTCTTCTGCGTGTGTGATTCGCAAAGCACCTGCTTTCTTGCAGCGCCTTAACAAGCTCTCAGGGTTCAATGCTTCCTTTGTAGTCTGTGGTATGATTTAAAGCTGTACCTATACTGTATTCTTGATGCCAACGCAAGAACAGAATGATACTGTACCTGACACTCTGCAGTACACCGCATTGACCGAGTCAACTCAAGAATCAAAACAAGGACCGCCAATGCCAGCTGGGGGTTCTGTTGGATAACAACCGTAATTGTCCCTACCTGTCTTCCATATAATTCCTGGTACAGTTACCATAACATTTGGTACTGGTACTGGTATTGAGAGCGGAGGTCGAGCGGATCAACACCTGCACTTGAACACCCCTACAGTACATTGCCATAATTCTACAGGCATATCATTCAGAGAGCTAGGGTAGTTCACGCCGGGAATGCGAGAACAGCGAGGAGCAGGCTGAGTGAATGACCTTGACTCCTCTTTGTCACTACTACCATCTCGGTTGTTATGCTTGGCACTACCCTAAGGCAGGTTGAGTCGGTAATCGAGCATGTTAAGTTGGCTCTGAGCGAATGCGAGAGCAACGAGGAGCATGGAGAGCAGCAGAATCGAGAGCATGAGCCGCAGCCACAGCGCAGGTGCCTCCCGCAACTGAGGGCTAGCTATGGCCCTGAAGGGGAGAGTGGGGGGGTGTGTGTGAAGCGGGGAAAGGAGGGGCAACATGGGAAGCATGAGGTGCAGCCACAGCGCTGGTACCTCCTGCAACTGAGGGCTCGCTATGGCCCTGAGAGGGGAGAATATGGCCATGAAGGAAAATGTGAAGGATTCGAAAACTCATGCGTTGTATAATTGATCGCGTGACAAAGCCATGTAGGAAACGAAGAACAATTAGAGAGAGCAGCATCTGCTCATGTCCGTTAGCATCTACCTCTACACTGCATCATACGTCTCTCGCTCACCCCTCCACCCTCCGTGCGAGCCTGTGAAAGGGAAGACTCCGCAGAAAGACCACTTTTGAGGTGAATGTTGAGTCGACTCAAAAGAATACCTCTTGGGGTTCATACGCCCTCGCTCGCTCACCTCTCCACCCTCCGTGCGAGCCTATGGAAGGGCAGACTTTGCAGGAAGACCACTCACGAGGTGACTTCAGAGTCGACTCAGAGGAATACCTACGGGCGCGAGGAGCAGGCAACCATACGCCCTCGCTTGCTCACCTCTCCACCCTCCGTGCGAGCCTATGGAAGGGCAGACTTTGCAGAAAGACCACTCCCGGGCCTGTGAGATGGGCGTGACAGATGCCCTCGCCCTGAAGGGCACCGCGTGGGGGGGGGGGGGGGGGGGGGGATGCATGAAGGGGACGACAGTTGAGACGACTCGAGAGACTGTGGAAGAGGGTAGGCTCTGCAGGAAGACCACTCCGGGCCCTGTGAGATAGGCGTGACAGATTTCCTTGCCCTGAAATGTGAAGAGGGGTGGTGATGGGTGAACGGGATGACTTTTGAGATGTCTCATAAGCCGGTGGAAGGGGAGGCTCTGCGCAGGTGAAAAGAATACTTGCACACGGTCTCAAAGTCACAGCCTGCCCGAAACAAAACTTACTCCGAAGAGAGCCTTTTTGATGGAGCCGACGTATCGCACGTCAAAGTCATCAGAGCGAGTGAGAGCTAATACACTGCACAAGACAGCCCACTCCAATGACAGCCTACTCCCAAGTCAGCTCACCCCGAATAGAGCCTTTTTGATGGAGCCGACGTATCGCACGTCAAAGTCAACGGAGCGAGTGAGAGCTAATACACTGCCTGCATCCACCACCACCACCTCCCCCGCTGCCAAGTTCTTCTGAACGACTGGGGGTGTGGGGTAGAGAAGGGGAGAGAGAGGACAGCAACAGCAATGGGGGATGAGTGCGAGATTATGCTAACCAGCAGCAACAGGCATCAGCATCACCACTACCTGCATCCACCACCAGATTTGTTCTGCACGACTGGAGGTGTGGGGAGAAGGAGAGACAGAGTGGATGGTGGTGAGGGTGAGGGGGAGAGAGTGAGAGTTCAAAAGCGTTAATTGAGAGCAGCAGCAGTGCTGGCAGCAGCAGCAGTGGCACTCACTCACTTGCTCACTCACTCACTTGATCCTCCCCCAGAGATGAAAGCGAGGCCTCTCCCTTTTAGCTTCTGGTAGAACAGACCCTGTATACGTGGCATGACATGGTGTGGCATGGTGTGGCATGGTGTGGCATGGTGTGGAATGGCATGGTTGGAACAGAAAGGTAGCAGGGAATAGGATGGCGCACAGGGGGGCATAACCAAGGGGCAAGAACACGTGAAGGGACATGGGGTGATTGACAGGGCAGTGAGTGGCAGGGCAGCATGAAAGAAGAGACATACGTGGAGGGAGACGGGGGGGAGAGGCGGAGGGGGACGCACGTCCATGGCAAAGAGGGAGACCAACTCTGGGTGAGTGGGTCATCAGTTTGAAGCATCAGAGATGAGTATGGGGGAGGAGCGGAGGGGCGATGGGGGGATTACGGGACAGGGGGACGCACGTCCATGGCAAAGAGGGAGACCCACTCTGGGCCTGCGGGATACCATTTTGTGGTGTCTCAGATGAGTACGTGGGAGGAGCGAAAGGGTGGAGGGGCGGAGGGGCGAGGGGGCAGAGGCGGGGGAAGGAGGGACGTACGTCCATGGCAAAGAGACCCACTCTGGGCCTGCAAACCATCATTTTGAGTCGTCTCAGACGAGTATTAGGGAGGGGTGATGGGCCGACGGCGGATTTAGGGGAATAGGGGGACGTACGTCCATGGCAAAGAGACCCACTCTGGGCCTGCGCGTCATTTCTGCTGTGACAGTGACGTCGTTGAGCGAACAGAGATATGCGTCCCTCTGATGGTGGGCGGGGGGTATGCAAACACACGCACGGTCACGTGCACGCACACACGCATATATGAGGTAAATTTAAGGCGCCTCAAAAGAGACCCACTCTGGGCCTGCGCGTCATTTCTGCTGTGACAGTGACGTCGTTGAGGGAACAGAGATACGCGACCCTCTGATGGTGGTGGTGGGGAGGCATGGAGACACACAGTCATGCATGCAGCACACACACACATGCACACATGCACACATGCACGCATGCACACATGCACACTTGCACACTTGCACACTTGCACACTTGCACACATGCACACATGCACACATGCACACATGCACACATGCACACATGCGCACATGCACACATGCACACATGCACACATGCACACATGCGCACATGCACACATGCACACATGCACACATGCACACACAGCAATAGAGAAGCAGGCTTCCATAGCTCAGTCGGTTAGAACAAGTCAAAGAGCCCCCATGAGACGATGCATATATACAGAGAAGCTAGATTGCCCAAGCTGAACAGAAGAAAACAAGTAGACAAGCAGGCAGGCAGGCAGGCAGGCAGGCAGAGAAGGTTGGCAGACGGAGAGGGTTGGCAGACGGAGAGGGTTGGCAGACGGAGAGGGTTGGCAGACGGAGAGGGTTGCAGTACCTGGCAGATGATCTCGCCCCCATGCACAGCCAAGTCAACCTGCAGGGAGAGGGGTGCATGGGTGCATGGATACATGGGTACATGGATGCATGGGAGGGGAACAGACAGACATGCAGGAAGAGAAGAGATTCATGGACGAAACGAGGTGGTGGAGCTGTTTTTGCAAGACATCCTAGGTGAGACTGTATGGGACTTTACTGGAGATGTTCATGGTCATGGTAATGGTCATGGTAAAAATGGTAATGGTGATGGTAATGGTAATGGTAATGGTAATGGTAATGCTCATGATAACGGTAATGGTAATGGTAATGGTAATGGACATGATAATGGTAATGGTAATGGTAATGGTAATGATAATGGTAATGGTAATGGTAATGATAATGGTAATGGTAATGGTAATGGTAATGGAAATGACAATGGTAATGTTAATGATCATGGTCATGGTCATGGTAATGGTAACGGTAACAGTAAGGGTAATGGTAATGGTAATGATAATGGTAATAGTAATGGTCATGGTAATGGTAACGGTAACGGTAAGGGTAATGGTAATGGTAACGCTCATGGTAATGGTTATTGTAATGGTAATGATCACGGTCATGGTAATGGTAATGGTAATTGTAATGGTAATGGTAATGGTAATGATAATGGTAATGATAATGGTAATGATAATGGTAATGGTAATGGCGATGATCATGGTAATTGTAATTATAGGGATAATGGTGATGCTCATAGTAATGGTAATTGTAATGGTAATGGTAATGGTAATGTTGGTCATGGTTGTGGTAATAATAATAATGATAATGGTGATGATGATGATAATGGTGATGGTCATAGTAATGGTAATGGTAATGATCATGGTAATGGTGACAGTAACGGTAATTGTAATGGTAATGGTAATGGTAATGGTAATGGTAATAGTAATGGTAATGGTAATGGTAATGGTAATGATAATGATAATGATAATCGTAATGGTAATGGTATTAGTTTTGGTAATTGTCATGGTCATGGTAATGGTAATGGTCATGGTAATGGTAATGATAATGGTAATGGTAATGGTCATGGTCATAATCATGGTAGTAATGGGAATGGTGATGGTGACGGTAATGGTCATGGTAATGATAAGAGTAATGGTTATGGTGATGATCATAGTAATGGTAATAGTAATGATAATAATAATGGTCATGGTAATGGACATGGTAATGATAATGATAATGGTAATGGTAATGGTAATGGTTATGGTCATGATAATAGTAATGGTAACGGTCACAAGAGGGGATTGAAAATGGTTTCAAGCAACGGCAGACCGAGGATAGAGAGCATAGTAAAAGATAGCAAGAAAAGCTATGTTTGAGTCGCCTAAAAAATGAGCATAAGCTAAGCAATGCAAGATGGCAAAAAAAGGTGCGTTAAGAGTGAAAGAGGGACAGATAGGGAAGGAGGAAAAATGGCTCTCACGGGCAATATTTTGGCCATGGTGGGTGTTGCAAGTCCTATGTACCCCTCCCCTGGTCCCTGGTTCAAGAACCTGCATGTTATCACCATACCAGGCATGGCATCAGGCATGGCATCAGGCATGGCATATCATTAGCAGGTTAGATGCATGCACCATATCACCATATCCAGGTGCATGTGCAAGTGCAACTTGGCATGGCATGGGATGGCTTGGGATGGCAAGTCAGATGCAGTCTCTGCGATGTGCCACAGTGAGTGTCAGTTATACTGGAATCAAACTGCTCATGCGGAACACTATAACGAAATCAATTATTGCGGCATCCAGGACTCAGCTTCATCAACGATTCAGCACATGTGAACAAAAGCAACGCCAAATTTCCGTCCCCTCCCCTCCCCTCCTCTCTCCGCTCCACCTACTTCCCCTGCTCCTCCCTCCCTGCCCTCTCCTTCCCCTTTCCGTCCCGAAAACGTAAAAGCGCTTTACATTTGGAGCGATAGGAGGCCAGTGTGTTGCGGTGGCTGTGTTGGAGAAGGAGCTTTGTCCAAGACAGACATCGCCCCACGCTGCCCTCCTATCCCTCCCTTTACCTCGGCGCCCCCCTTCCGCCTCCCCTCCCTCCCAACCCTGGTGAGATACACACCCCTTCCCCCCAGCATGCCACTCACGTGTTGGTGAAAAAGCTCTCCCCGGACAGCCACCGCCACACACTGCCCTCCTATCCCTTCCTTAATCCCGTTGGCCGCCTCCCCGCCCCTCCCCAATAACCCGCACCCCAGAATGCCACTCACGTGTTGGTGAAAAAGCTCTCCCCGGACAGCCACCGCCACACACTGCCCTCCTCCATTGCCGTCTCTGCACTCATGTTACCACTCATGTAACACATGGCGCCTGGAAGGGGGAAAGGGATGGGAAGGGGGGGGTGGGGCGGTTGTGTTATCTCTCATCCATTCTCACATGCTCCCTCTCATCCTCCATTGCTGTCTCTGCACTCATGTTCCCACTCATGTAACACATGGCGCCTGGGAGTGGGGAGGGGATAGGGAAAGGGGAGGAGAGACAGGAACAGGAAGGGGAAAGTTTCATCTTCACGTTACCGCTCATGTAACACATGGCGCCTGGAGGGTCGGTGGCAGGAGGAAAGAGGAGCCGTGGGGGGAGAGGGTGGGTGGGGATTAGAACTGGTAGCTTACACTGGTAACTGCCCACTCTCTCTGCACAGGAGAGTTTTAAGCTGGCTTAAAACTCGCTCCCCCACTGGCGCAGGGATGATGATGTTACTCACTACTGTCTCCTCCTATCTTCCTCTTTTCCTCCGTTTCTCCCTTTTCTCTGCTCTACTCTTTCACTCTTCCCACCACTCTTCGCACACTCTCTTCCGCCATCTCAAAATAATCTGCACTATCTGCGCCTCTCCTCCTCTCGTGTAATCCCTCATCTCATCCCCACTCAAAGAATTGATTGCACCTGGTTCTGCGCGCACTCTCTCCCCCGGCTTCAGAATGATCTGCACTATCTGCGCCTCCCCTCCCAGTATCTGAAACGGCGTGAGCACTGCTTGTGGGCTCTGTGACGGAGACAGGGAGAGAGGAGAGAACGGAGGGAGTAGGGAGGGAAAGGGGAGGAGGGAGGAAGAGGGGAGGAGGGAGGAAGAGGGGAGAGAGAAACCTTTCACTAGATACGGTTTGACATTCAGGTATCACACTCTGTTTGACACTTCAAACTTGGTATCCGTCACACCAGGTCTGCGCCATACCTGGGACTCGCCATACCTGGGACTCGCCATACCTGGGACTCGCCATACCTGGGACTCGCCATACCTGGGACTCGCCATACCTGGGACTCGCCATACCTGGGACTCGCCATACCTGGGACTCGCCATACCTGGGACTCGCCATACCTGGGACTCGCCATACCTGGGACTCGCAATACCTGGGACCCGCCATACCTGGGACTCGCCATACCTGGGACTCGCAATACCTGGGACCCGCCATACCTGGGACCCGCCATACCTGGTACACATACGGCTGAAACGGCGTATTGAGCGTAGGGACTGCCATGATTCACGGCTCCACACTCCTCCTCACCCCTCCACACCCCTCCCTCCTTCCTCCACCACACTCCACCCAACCGGCCTACTCCCGACCCCTGATTAAGAAATCAGCACCCACAACTGTTATGTGTGGACACTAACGACGCCTCTAAGCACTTAGCTCTAACCTTAGAGGCAAAGCTTTAAAAAGCCCCACGAAGGAAACTCGTCACCGAGGCCAGGAACGAGCCTGAGGCCTAGAATTTCAAAACGCAGCGGGGACACGGAGGGGTTTCATTGGAGGAGGAATTGGGGAGAAGCGATAAGAGGCAATGAATCGTGAATCCACCACGAAGGCACCAAGAGAAGCGGCTGAACCGGTTCGTAACCTCCTTTTCCTACTCTCGCTGTTGCTGCTGTTGCTCCTGTAGTTGCTGTTGAAGCTCTGAGGATTCTACTACCAGTCACCCTCGTCGTTCTGAATCACTCTGCAGGACTCCTTTTCTCCATGCAAGCACTAACAAAAAAGTATTACGTAATAAAGCCTTCGCACTCCAGCTCCCCTAGAATTCCACCTACGACTCCTGACTCCCTTTTGTAGGTGCAAGTTACGTACGAGCAATAACTTGATCTCTCCCTCCTTCCCTCGCTTCTGCTTTCCCTACTCTCGTTCGCTCTCTCACTATCTCCTTGACGACTTCACGAAATACGCAAGAAGGGCGTCACAGGGGCTGGGAGCATGTGACATATGTTTTTTGAAAGCGCTGAGAAAATCGAGAGGGACGAGATTATCAGGGCGAAAGGACTGGAAAATTATTGCGGAAGCAATAAAGCATTTGACGGGGAAAGGCTCGAAGTGAAGGAATTGCGGACCTCGTGGCAATGAACTTGGGCTGCGTTCTGCGGGCGCATCAGCAAGGCGGCAACTAGTCCGATTCAAGGAATTCCTTTGTGAGACGGTATTAGCATTTAGGTACATCCCACAAAATTTTAAAAGTCATAAACGGCTGGAGCTCAGCGAAATCACTATAGTATTGTCATTCAGCTCAATTTATCCGCTTCTTTTGGCTTCTATTTACGTCCTTATAGTCTTTTGGTTATTTCACTGCTCAAAAGGAACAATATTCTTTAGCACAAAACCGGTCCTCCAATAACGTACATAGTCTTCTTTAATGGAAACCGATTCAGGGTGTAATTATTTGAACTGAACTCTGTAAATGCATGCATCGGGAGTCTAGGGATTCTCTTGGGTCCATTTTAGCCAGACACTCCCAATCAGAAACCCTCGTTTGGCTTCGCTTCACTCACGCCTCAGAAATCGGAATTTCAGCATAGTCACAACAATGTGCCAATTTGAGCCAATTCGAGTGGCAGTCACAAGGCAAACCAAACCACCCTCCCCTTGCTGCTTCCTCTGCTTCATCTCTTTCTTCCTGGCTAAAGCAAAATCGGTAACGCAGCTCTTCAGCCCTCCATCGCGCAATCCACAGTAGAGCCCGCATTTCCACTCTCCGCATGGAGGTGCTGGCTTCCCCTGCTGCGCAGGCGTTTTCCGCCTCCGCGCACTGCGCGCTCCGCGCGTTGTCCCCCGCACTCGGCGGAGGCGGACTGCACAATGCGGCCTCGCTGCTACCACTCCGCTCCGCGGGCCTCGTAAAGAAGTCGCTATGCCGGCCGTCGCACGCTGTCGCTGCTGCTGATAACAACCACCGATCGCCCGCAATTCGCGCTGGTAGCAATTCGGCGGACGATGCGGCGGCAGATGCGCTGTGCCGGCGGCAAGTCCTCGGAGCGCTGGCGATCGCGCCGACTCTGCTGATGGCGCCGCGAATGGCTCAAGCGGAGGAAGCAGCGGTGGCAGTGGCGGGAGAAGAAGTCGCTGCGGGATCCGCGGCGGGTGACGCGCCGCGAGTGACGGAGAAGGTGTTTCTCGATATTGCCGTGGACGGCGCGCCCGTGGGGCGGCTGGTGATCGGCGTTTACGGCGAGGTATGGCGACGCGGTGAGGGGAGAGTAGGGGTTGGGGGAAGGGAGGGGAGGGGGAAAGGCTGAGGTAGAGACGGGGGTGGGAGGCGGGGTTGTGAGGGGACGGGGAGAGGCGAGACCATCGCACCCAAACGCACACGCAAATCAACGCATTGCACTGAAAGGAAATGTAAGGAATGCAGTGCACCTATCGACACACAACGAACTGAACCGCGAGAAGCAAGAGGGCTTAATGCGAAGTAGCGCAGTTCAATGCAATGCAGCTTGCGCGGCCCGCGACGGAGCGGTACGTCGACCGCGCCACCCCGCCACCCCCCAAACATCTCTTCCTTCCCAGCACGTCCCAGTCGTCTCTGCACTTGAGTCGACTCAAAACCCATTTCACCCCTCTCCACCGCTCCCCACCCCTCCACCACCCGTCTGCCCCCCTCCCAGGCTGTGCCAATCGGAGCTGCTCGGTTTGCGCAGCTGGCCAAGGGCGTGGCGGGCGTGTCGTACCGGCGGAAGGACTTCGTGCGCCTCACCGACTCCTACGTGCAGGGGGGCGCCCTGCGCGCCTTCTCCCTCACCGGCTCTGCTGCCGACCCTGCCGCGTTTGTCGGCGGCTTGAACGCGGACGCTGTTGCACAGGAGCTGCAGCAGCTGCAGATGTACGTGCGGAGAAGGGTGTGGGGAAGAGTGTGGGGACTGTTGTGGGGCAGAGAGTGGGGAATGGTGTGGGGAATGGTGCAAGGGGGCGCTCTGCGCGCCTTCTTCCTCACCGCTCTGCTTCGGTGCGGACCCTGTGGCATATGGGGGAGGCACGGACGGGACGTTGTTGTGCAGCTGCCATGTACGTGTGGGGGGTGCGAGTTGTGATGGTGGCAGGTGGTGGAGCTGGTGATGCTGCTGCTGGTGGTGACGCTGCTGCTGCTGGTGATGCTGCTGCCGGTCTGAATACAACAAAGCCTTTTCCGTTGCGTTTCAGTCAGACTCAAAGCAAAAGCTGAAACACGAACCTCTTCCTTCCCCACCTCCCCTCCAACCTTCCCAGAGCAAAGCCCGGTCCAGTCTACAACAAAGCCTACTCCGTCGCTCTCTTTGCCATCGACCCAACCATCCCCCCTCCGAAGCAAAAGCTCGTCGCACGAGGGGGGAAATTTGAGATGGTGGAGGAGGAGTTGAAACCGGCCCCCAACGGCACCGAATTTGCCGTCTCCTTTACAGACTGCCCTGAATTAGACTCCACGCACCTGGTGGTGGGACGGGTGCTGGATGGGTTTGGCGTTCTGGAGAAGGTTCGAGAGGTGCCGTTTGTGCGGGACGGCACTGACAACGGCTTTTTCAAGTGAGTGTCTATGGCTCTGGCTGTTTCGTTTTGTTGTGGTTATGGCTGTGTGATTGATATTGTTGTGTTTGTGGTTATGTTTGCTGCTAATGCGAGTGCTGTTGCAAAGGAGATTGCTCACGTTTTTGCTGTCGCCGTTGCTAATGGCGTTTCTGTTTTCATTGACCTCCGGTCGCTATCTGTCTGCCCGGCCCGCCCTCCCATCCAGTGTGCCCTTACTTTGCCCTCCTTGTTCCTTATTCCCATAGTCTTGTCAGCTGACCACTTATTTCATATGCATCTAAACACTACACCCATACCATTCACGCAACATGTCTGTCAACCTTTCTTGTCCATTTTATCACTTTCCTTATTTTCTCTGGCATATTGAGTTTTGAAACTGGTTTCAACAATTTTTTTCTTCTCTCATTGTCTGTCATTCCAGGGCTGCTAAATTGATAGGTGATACCAGGGCAACAGTAGCAGAGAGGGGGTTTTACCGCCCATACAAGAAGATTACAATCACCAAGTCAGGTGTTCTAGCATAGATGTTGTTGTCAAGGCAACGTCTGCAGATCCAACTAGCGATGGCAAACCAGACGAACCGTTTTGTATGTTTGCTTAGAAAGTGTAAGCAATTTCAAATATATGAATTGTCCAGAACACTGTAGAAAAAATTTGGATCAGTAGCCACGCGGGCTCCAATTGCGTCTAGAGAATCGGGACTCGCAGCTCTCGGATGCAACGCAAGGCCTTGGCCCTCCATATCCAAGCCTAGGTTTCCAGCTTTGGAAAGTATTATCCGCTCTTGGATACATGGACCTCTGACATAAGTTCGCGTCTTTCTGGCCGTCGTCTGCGTGCTGATGTCCCGCCGCTGTTGTCGCGGTTCAACAGCCTTAGTATCCAGTTTCTCCGCGTTGACTTCTCCAGATTTCATCTCGCCGTGTGCTAAGCTAAATTCCCGCAGTCTACCGCTAAGCTCGGAATGGACCCTTATCATCACGCGCTGCAGTCATCGCTAGATCCCTACGGTGCCGGGTCTAATCCGTCAAAGTACATGCAGCAACAGCAAGGCTATCACCAGCAACACCAGCAGCATCAGCAGCAGCAGCAGCAGCAGCAGAGTTACTACAGCCCATCATCGGCGTCGCTTCAACAGCCTGGCGTGCGCGACGGCCATGGCTCGGGCTACACCGCGCATGGTTCGGCCGGTGCTTACTCTGTCCAGGGCTATGCGGAAGCGACGTATGCAGACGGTTCAGTGCGAGGGATGAATAAGCGAGGCCTCGATTCAGGTGCGATACTAGCCGAGAGATGGTTTGCTTGGTTCTTAGCTTTCGACTGTGCTTCTTTTTCTCCTACATGTCGCGTGCTGAGGGTGCCGTGGGAACGGTTATTACGGCTAGGGTTAGATTTAGGAGCAATTTGAGAATTATAGGCTTGCTTGGTTTTGAGATTGTTTGCTTTACTCTCCTTTCATCACGGTTTTAATATTTGGAGATAAACGAGAAAAGTGGGAGTAATAATTTCGTTATTTCTCAGTCGGGTCCACTATTGATGATTAATTATGCGTGTTTGTGTCTACTCTTGTCCTTGTGTGCTTCTATCTGTATGCATGTCTGAATGTGCGTGGTCCATATCTGTTAACGTGGTTATGCATTTTCTATTATGTGTGTGTGGTCTGTTCGTGTGCTTCTTATGCATCAATCAACCATAACTGGCATGGGTTCCACTCTATATGGTGTATGCCACTGCAACGGTGCATATACCAAACGCTCCCACCACCACCATAATAACTACTATTAATCGGGTAATATCCCTCCTTATTCGCTACACCGCATGTACCCCTTCTCGCGTTTCCATGTCTTGAACTTTCGTCATATTAATATTATCTTATATGCCTCTGTCAAATGCTAACTGACTTGCACGTCGTTTTATCATGCTATATTTCTCTACGCGAATCCTCTTTGTCTCTATTCTTACTGTCATAATTCCTCCCATAATTCCTCCCAACTATGGTGGGAAAATTTTAATAATATTGAAACAAACTACAGGTGCCTCCCCTTCCTCCCACCATAGCTATTACGAGTACCCTTCCAAGAGGCTTCATTTCGGCAACACCAATCCCACTCCTCTCCCTCCGTCCTCCCATTCTGACCCCTCCTACCCCTCCCTCTACCTATCATCTGCCGCTGACGCTGCATCTACCTTCCCCAGTAGCACCTTCTACGACTCAAGCGCCACAGGTCTAGTTTCTGGCGCAGAAGCGTTCTATTCCACACCCCAGCAACAGCAACAGCAGCAGCAGCAGCAGGAGCAGGAGCAGGCTCTATACCCGGTCAGGCCAGGGGAGAAAGAGTGTGCCTACTACATGCGACATGGCAAGTGCAGCTTCGGAGCCACCTGTCGTTTCCACCACCCGCCTCGCTCCTCCTCCTCCTCTGCCGCCGCTCCTTCCCCCTCTTCTGCCCCTTCCGCACCCTCTGCCTCTGCTACAGCGGCAGTTGCAGCGGCAACAGCGGCAATGGTAGCAGCAGGAGCAGGCGCCGCAGCAGCAGGGGGTGTGTATCCTGGTGGTTATTCTCTATCCTATTCCGGGGGGAATAGGGATTCGGCTGGCATGTTAGGAGTGCTGCCTGTAGCGGCATTGGGAGCAGGAGGAGGAGGAGGGGGGGCAGGAATAGGGGGTTTGTTTGGTAAGAGCTCTGGAGGTTTGGGAGCAGCTGTTTACCCCGTGAGGCCCGGTGAACCAGACTGCGCGGTATGTTGTTTTCCCATGCACTTTGACCCTTTACCTTCCCGTCCCCCCTCCCCCGTTCCTCTTTTGAGTCGACTCAAAAGAAGCCCTGAAGGTTTTGCAGCAGCAGTTTTCCCAGAGAGGCCCAGTGAACCAGACTGTGCGGTATGTTGTTTTCCCATGCACTCCTCTCCCTTACCTTCCCGTCCCCCCTCCCCCGTTCCTCTCCCCCCACTCCCCCGCGCCCTTCACCCGCTCCTATCGCTCATCGCTCCCCCTTCCTCCAGCCCACCCCTTTCTACCTCTCAATGAACCGAGCTAGCTCAAACCCTCGTCTTCCTTCTCTCCCCTCCCCTCTCTCTCCCCTGCCCCTCCTCTTTCTCCCTTCTCCACCCTCCCTCCACCCTCCCTCCACCCCCTTCCATCCCTTCTTCCCTTTTCTGTGTGCATATATGTTTGGGTGTCCACTCCTTTTGCGTTTCTGCCTTCCTTCCGTCCCTTCATCCCTTCATCCTTCTGTCCTTCCGCCCTCTCTCCTTCCGTCCCTCTGTCCCTCCATCCCTCCGTGCTTTTGTCCTTGCGCCCTTTTGCCTTGCCTGCACGGCATCCCACCTGCCATCTACAGTTCTACATGAAGGCTGGTACATGCAAGTTTGGAGCGTCCTGTAAATTCAACCACCCTCCCGACCGCCAGCACCAGCAACAGCAGAAGCAAGCGGGGGCAACCCAGGCAAACCGCAAGCAGGAAGGCACAGCAGCCGCTGCCACCAATGCCGCCGCCACCACAGCAGCAACAGCAGCGGCGGCGGTGATAGTAGGTCCCGCGGAACGTCCGAAGGGTAACGCTGCAGCAGCAGGAGGAGCAGGAGCAGCAGCAGGAGCAGCAGGAGCAGCAACAGGAGAAGCAACAGCAGAAGCAACAGGAGCAGCAGCAGGAGCAGCAGCAGATGGTGGTGAGGGGATTGGTGAGGAGGAGTCCAAGGCACTGGTGAGCAAGAAGGGTGAAGGGGAAGAGAAGGAGGAGGGTAAGGAGGAGGAGAAACGGGAGGAGAAGATTGAGGGGGGGGAGTTGAAAGGTAGAGAGAAGAGCAGCGGTGGTGGCGGCAGCAGTGGTGGTGGTGGTGCAAGTGATGGTGGTGGCAGTGGGGGCGGTGCTACTGGTGCCGGTGCAAGTGGTGGCGGCGCTAGTGGGGACAAGGGCAAGGGGCAGTTGGGCAAGCCATTTTCGCTCAACTCAGTGGGCCTGCCTCTTAGGCCGGTGAGTCAGGATGATGGTGGGGGGATGGGGGAACGGCGGTAAGTGAGAAGGAGGAAAACGAAGGGGGAATGGGGGATAAGGGGGAAGGGGAATGGGAGAGCCTAGAAAGGGTGGATGCAGAGTGCTGATTCTGGTGGTGGATGGGATGGGTGTGGTGGATGGAAGGGAAGGGGGGAGACAGGGGGTGTCGATGAATGGAACCGAGGGCTGGTTGTCCCTCCCTGTGCTGTTCGATTTTCTGTCTCATTTCACAGCAAGGCGATTTCTCTTGCTTTATTCCCCTTTCTGTTCTATGCCCCTCATCTCGCATATGTTGCAAAACTGATATCTCAAAGTTGTCCATTTCTGTGGTCTGTGTTTGCATGTCGCGTCTGTGTGTTGTGTTCTGTGCACTCATGTTTGTGTGCATGTGTGGGGGGGATGGGAGTGTGTGTGCGTGTGTGGGGGGGATGGGAGTGTGTGTGCGTGTGTGGGGGGGGATGGGAGTGTGTGTGCGTGTGTGGGGGGGATGGGAGTGTGTGTGCGTGTGTGGGGGGGATGGGAGTGTGTGTGCGTGTGTGGGGGGGATGGGAGTGTGTGTGCGTGTGTGGGGGGGATGGGAGTGTGTGTGCGTGTGTGGGGGGGATGGGAGTGTGTGTGCGTGTGTGGGGGGGATGGGAGTGTGTGTGCGTGTGTGGGGGGGATGGGAGTGTGTGTGCGTGTGTGGGGGGGATGGGAGTGTGTGTGCGTGTGTGGGGGGGATGGGAGTGTGTGTGCGTGTGTGGGGGGGATGGGAGTGTGTGTGCGTGTGTGGGGGGGATGGGAGTGTGTGTGCGTGTGTGGGGGGGATGGGAGTGTGTGTGCGTGTGTGGGGGGGATGGGAGTGTGTGTGCGTGTGTGGGGGGGATGGGAGTGTGTGTGCGTGTGTGGGGGGGATGGGAGTGTGTGTGCGTGTGTGGGGGGGATGGGAGTGTGTGTGCGTGTGTGGGGGGGATGGGAGTGTGTGTGCGTGTGTGGGGGGGATGGGAGTGTGTGTGCGTGTGTGGGGGGGATGGGAGTGTGTGTGCGTGTGTGGGGGGGATGGGAGTGTGTGTGCGTGTGTGGGGGGGATGGGAGTGTGTGTGCGTGTGTGGGGGGGATGGGAGTGTGTGTGCGTGTGTGGGGGGGATGGGAGTGTGTGTGCGTGTGTGGGGGGGATGGGAGTGTGTGTGCGTGTGTGGGGGGGATGGGAGTGTGTGTGCGTGTGTGGGGGGGATGGGAGTGTGTGTGCGTGTGTGGGGGGGGATGGGAGTGTGTGTGCGTGTGTGGGGGGGATGGGAGTGTGTGTGCGTGTGTGGGGGGGATGGGAGTGTGTGTGCGTGTGTGGGGGGGATGGGAGTGTGTGTGCGTGTGTGGGGGGGATGGGAGTGTGTGTGCGTGTGTGGGGGGGATGGGAGTGTGTGTGCGTGTGTGGGGGGGATGGGAGTGTGTGTGCGTGTGTGGGGGGGATGGGAGTGTGTGTGCGTGTGTGGGGGGGATGGGAGTGTGTGTGCGTGTGTGGGGGGGATGGGAGTGTGTGTGCGTGTGTGGGG